CCTTTGAAGGCAACTGCCAGGCTGATACGGCCCCCGGTGAAAATGAGTTTTGACACCCCTGCATTACGGCATGAGATCAACAGCGATCTGAGAATAAAGGGCCCATAAAGATTCAATCCCTGTCTCTGCCTATTGGGTTTGGCACGTGACAGGCGGTGTCTTTTCCGGTTTCAACATCAGAGTCTTATCCATTACTCATAAGTTCCAGGGGTCACCTACTCAGACCAGGAAGCCACCCAGGAGGAAGAGCCTGGGAACACAGTGATACCCAGGAGCCAGAGAGTTCAGAAGGCCCTGATCATGGCTTTGCCACTCCCCCCTTCCCAAGCCTGAGGCTCAGACTCCCAGAGTGGGCAACTAGACTGGAACAGAGCCCCAGAGCCCACCTAAATTCAGCTGGAGCCCCGAGACAGAGATTTGCTCCAAGTCACAAGGCTAGTGAGTGACAGAATGGGGCAGGTTGGAGCAGAGCAGGAGATGTGGGGGGGCTGAGCCCCTGAGTGACTAGGGCTTTGCCCCTCCCCAGGGTGGGTAATCAGTCAAGGGAACAGTGGAGGTGCTGGCACTTGAGCAGTAAGAGACCCACAGGTTTCTACCAAGAGCTGCCATTAGGTAAATTCCAAGTCTAAAGTGAGGAGAGCGCCAGGGGAAGGGAGGTCTGGAAAATGAGAGGAGGGCCTGGCCAACCTCTCACTGGCCACATCTTCCTTCTTCCCAGTTGGCCACACAACTTCAGAGTGGGACCCCCAACTCCTTCCTTGATTTGAATCATCTCTCCACCATCCCTACCAAGTGGTCACTAACCATGTGCTTGCATACCCCCAGTGATGGGGGAGTCACTACTCATCAGGCAATCACTGCCATTTCCAGATGGCTCTCCTGGGCAGAATCTTCTGATTTCTGAGCCATCATCAGTCTCCCAGGAGCTTCCTGGGGCCGTCAGATCAAGGCTGATTCTGCAACAGGTCAGGACCTCCTGAGGGTAGCAGTCCTGGGCCCTTCTCTATATACTGTCTTCACCACCTGGGTGCTGCTCGAACAGAGAGCAATCCTCCAGGCAAGGGGCAACCGGGTGCAGCAAAGGAACACCCTATCTCCTTTGTCCTAGAGGTATCCTTAGCTTGACGAGCCCTGGGCAGTTTGGTCATAGTTCATTCTTTTGGAATTTATTTCTGTTCCCAAGTCTCCCTCAGAGATGTTGGTAATCTGACCCAGACTAGGTAGAGATAAGAGAAAGATTAAAAAAAAAAATAGCTAAATCATTCATCCGGTACATGGTGTGTGCGTACATATGTCCAGGGGTCATGAGTCCCTTCAAGCCTGCTACCCTCAGGTTCATCTAGGGTTGAAGTTACAAAACCCCCAGCAAGTAGCTGAAAAGGGGGCCCCTGGCCCAGTGGCCCTTCCAGCCCCTTTCTCGTAGGTCCTGCCAGATCTGACATTCCCTTCTAACCTCGTTTCTCTTTCTCTTCACTCCTCTTCCCAGGAATAGCCTGACCCGTCAGCCATAATTTTTCAGTTCTCAGTATCATTTCACATTCTGTCTCCTTTGATCTCCACGAGAATCTTGTGAGGTGGCTGGGAAATGGCTTATTTCCCCGTTTCCCAGGTGGAGAAACTGCGGCTGTGAGACTAACCTAGTGAAAAGAGCCAAGTGGCTCAGAGGGCCTAAACCATGCCTCCCCACCCCACCTTCACCCCACCCCGCTTTTTCATTCCAGGCTCAGGAACTTCCTGGCTGCCCTGAACTATTTCCCACAAGGTAGGTCAACCCCAAGCTCCTAAGATAAGAGATTCAGCCCTGGCTGATGTAGCTCAGTGGATTGAGCTCGGGCTGTGAATCAAAGGGTGGCCAGTTCAATTCCTGGTCAGGGCAAATGCCTGGTTTGCAGGCCAGGTCCCCAGTGGGGGCCACGTGAGAGGCAACCACAGTGATGTTTCTCTCCCTCTCTTTCTCCCTCCCTTCCCCGCCCTGCCCCCCCCACTCCCCGTCTCTAAAAATAAATAAATAAAATCTTTAAACAAAAAAAGATTCAGGGGCAGGTATACCTGAACCATACACAATGCAAATGAAATGCAAACTAGCACCCCACTGAAAGAGTAGCCAGGTGATCCAGGCTTTTGGGGGAACTGAGCTAGAACTGAGGCTCTAGCTCCAGCCCTGAGGGCCCCAGCTCCTCCCTCGTCTCAGCCGCACAAACCTCCAAGGATGAGCTGGGAACCTTCTGCTTTCTAACTATCCCACCCTGAGTTGCGAGCCACACTGGGTGCAGCCTGGAACAACTTTCAAGAGCCAAGAAGATTAACTGGAAGATGGAGGGTGTTTGGAGACTGGGGTGAGGAAGACGAGCAGTCACCTCGCTTGTCCCTTGAGTTATCCAAGCAGATGCCCCACATGGACTACATCCCTGAGACCTAATATAGATGCGCTGACTCCCACGGACCCTGAGGAGGTAACAGCTCAGAGCCACACGAAGTTCAGGGACAAGGGTGCCTAGAAGCCGGATGGTGCACAGTCAGGCAATGGCAAAGTTGGAACCACATCTCAGGTGTCCTGCTTCGCAGTCCTGCAACTGATCGTTGTGCGACCTTGACAAGCCCGTTCCCTCCCTGGCCCTTAGTTTCCCCAGGTCCACCATGAGGGGTTGGGCTAACTCCTCCAAGCTCCCAAGCGCTGAGTTCTTGAGTTCTCCAATATCATGAAAGGGTGGAGCCAAAAGAAATCTAAGCTTGGAACAAGAAGGGAATCCTGAGTATCCCAACTCCAAGTTCCTTGAAGCCTGTCTCTATACAGTCCTAAGCTCTCAGGGTCAACTGTCCACCCAGGAACAGAGGGCCCTCCCACTTGAGGCTTGGACACATCTACCCCCTTGATGCGCAAGCCCTCTGCTTGGTCTCCCAGACATCATGCCCATGCCACAGCCACACCAGCCAGGCTCAAGTGGACGGTGAAAGAAAATACAGCTGACCCTTAAATAACAGGGGTTTGAACTTCAAGGGTCCATTGATAGATTATTTTCACGTGACCCACTCAATTCAATTGAATGGCGCAGTTTAAGCCCACATTGTCTGAGGGTCACCTGGTGGTTGGGAATTCATGTATCCAGAAGACCGACTTAAGTTATGCACAGATTTTCATCTGCATGGGCGGTGGATACCACTGACCCCTGCATTGTTCACCGGTCAACTGTATACTCATGAGCAAAAGGTGCAGCCTCCAGATTCTGGTGACCAGTAACCAGTCCAGGCTGGATGCCGGATGGTGTTCACGTAGGGCTGGGCAAGAGGGCAGCTTCAAAAACCTTACACAATCTGATTAGCCCTTCAGTGACCCAGAGAAAAAGAGAAATTCCCCAAAGATATTTTTTTACAGGTGCTCCATTGCCGCAGGTTTCAAAACTCCGTGTAACCCTCACAGCCCATTCCAAACACAGCCCACAAGCGGGTTTCTGACTGCTTAAACACTAGTGTGCATGCACACATGTACATGCCTGTGGGCACACACACGCTAAGCATATGTGTACAAATACTCCAGGCCCTGGATTTGGGACCAGCCTATGCAGGAGGACCACAGACAAGCCTTTTAAGTCTGAGCCTAGCTGCAAAATGGAGACACTACCACTTGCCTCCCAGGGCTGCCATGGGATCAAGGGCGCTACTGTGAGGAGGTTTTGAAAACTGCAGGCAGGCACTGGGCTGTCTACAGTCGATGCCCCCTGAGCTGGGCTGGGGGCTGCAGTCGGCAGCCTGGAAAGCACCCTGATGTCTGAGAAAGGGGCTGGTGTATCAGTCCATAAGAAACATTTAAACCTGTAGAGAATTTTTTGGCGAGTTTATTTGAACCAAACTGACGACAATCTCCGGGAAGCAACATCTCAATGGACTGAGAAATGCTCCAGGGAATGGCAGTTTAGCACCTTATTTTATACATTAGAATCAAAGGAGAAGCCACAAGGGGGGTTAAATGAAGTCCACTGGTGATAGATTAGGGAGGTGGGAGAAAGTAGAGGTGGGGGGGACCTCTGGGATTGAATAAGAGGAAAAATGACAGACACATACCTCTTTTACATAGGTGGGTAAAGGATAGTTAACAGTCAACAATTAACATAACAATAACAACCTGGGGGATTTGTGGTCTCAGCTTGTGCCCAAGGAGTTTGGGGAAAAGGGAAGTTACCTTAACATTCCAAAGGTATGTTACCATAGATGTGAAAAGACAGTAGACAGGCTTAGTTAAAGGTTGACCTTTGTTAGGGAAAAATTCTGGCCTCGGACGTGACTACCGGCCATGAACTGCTTTTAGTTAGTAAGTTTTAATTTTAGACCATCCATTGTGGTTACTTTAAGTCTCTGAGTTTGCAAGGGTGCCTTGCTGGCCTCCCCTAAGCTTGTCAGGTTAATATGTGGCTCCTTTTCTTCCACACCAGGGAATTCTGGGATCCTTGTATGTGCACGCGCCTGCCTCCAGAGTGAGGTCTGCCTCTCCCTCCCCAGGCCAGGGCAGTGAGGGCCACCTGCTCTCCTGTTGCCTGTGTTCCCAGAAGAGAAGGTGGCAGGAACCCTTTTAAAAGACGGCAGAGTGCAGCGGAGCAAACCTGCAAAAGTACCTGGCTGAACAACTCGGAGCGCCCTGGACTACAGGGGAGGTGTAGGAGTGCTTCATTGAGCTTTAGTGCAGGGTCATCAGGACCGTGGTTAATGGGGAAATGCCCCTCTGCACCCTGCGGTCAGCCCCTGAGGGGGACCGGGGCAAGGCAGCAAGTGGGAGCATCTTGCGATTCCGGGGACGCCACTGGCTGTGCCAGGAGAACCTAGTGCCTCGCTTTTCCCAGCTCCTTCACGCTACGGAGGAAGGGCAGAGCAGGTCTAGTCCCGCCTGCCTCTAGGCATCCGGCTCTGGGCGCGAGATCAGACCCCCTCCCGTCATCGCACGGCCCCCGCCCCGGTGCCTTTTCAGGGGCTCACTGGTGTGTGACCTCGGTCCTGGGACTCCTCCTTACCCAGAACTTGGAGCCGAGCTCCCCGGAGCCGCACAAAGTATCCATCAGACCAAGGCTCAGCTGCGGCAGCGAGAAAGACAAGAGCAGTCAGTCGCACGGCAACCTGGGATACAGTGGGCGGGCCGGAAGCATCCTCCGCCCCTCACTCCGCCCAGCTCCCCCTATCCCCGCCCCGCCAAGCCCTACCCTCAGGCCCTTGGATCTAATTAATTCTCTCGTCCCAGCAATTGTTACAGAACTCCGCTGAACCTGAAGCTCTGGGAGGTACTTTAGGCGAGGCGTGTGGGGGAAGGTCATTGACACAGTGGCCACTGTGCCCACTGAGCCACAAGGGAGAGATGCCGCTCCAAGTACTGAGATTGATAGGACCAGAACAGGGTCTGTTTTCAAGGGGCTCACGCCCACTCCTACCATGCGCAGCTCTGTGGGGGCCGATGAGTCACTGAGACCTGAGAGGGACCTAGCAAGACTCTCTGGGAATAGATCCTTGAAAAGGTCACGTTCATCTCTGGAGCTCAGTCTCCTTATCTGTAAAATGGGAAGACTTGTGTTCCCAGACAATCCTCTCTGCACAGCTACCTCTCCGCACAGGTTTCTGGAGAGCCAGCAGACACACAAACATAACGTGCGTGTGTGTGCACTTGTACCTGAGGAGAAGGGGACAGGCAGGGGTTCTGGCATCAACCAGATGGGGGCTTCCAGATTCCCTTAAATTGTTGCTTTCCTGAGGTCCTCTGGCTCCCTGATCTTGGGTGTATGGTTTAGCATCACTCTGTGCCTCCATTTGCACTTCTGGAAAACAGGGGTAATCAGAGTACCTACCTGATAGGGTTACTTTTAAGATTAAACAGGAAAAGTACATAAAATATCAAGCACATTGCAGGCTCGATTAGTAGGCACCCAGCATGTGTTAATTTCCTCCACTTCAACCGGGTCAGGGTAGAGGATGGGCAGGTGAGGCCCCAGGAAGAGACCATACCAGCGCCCTCCTCCTAAGGATGAGTCTCCACTTTCCCATCTGAAAAATGGGTTTGGGGTCAGCAGCCTTCTTCTTCTTGCCCCAGCTTGGCCATGCTGGGGTCCCTCCCTCCCTTCATTCCTCATTCCCCCAGTCACCTTCTCTTTCCTAACAGGATCTCAGAAAGCCAATTCACTATCCCTTCTCAGGGCTGAGAAGGAACCGTTGCCTTCTCTCCACAGCTCTTTCTCCAGGTCCCTCTCTCCCCTGCCCTCACCTCCCCAACCGTGTTCCTGTCCATGGCATCTGCCCAGGTTCATCCCTGGTGATTCCTTCCTTGGCATATGTTCTTTTTTTTTTTAAAGATTTTATTTATTTTATTTTTAGAGCAAGGGGAAGGGAGGGAGAGAGAGATAGAAACATCAATGTGTGGTTGCCTCTCATGCGCCCCCTACTGGGGACCTGGCCTGCAACCCAGGCATGTGCACTCCCTCGGAATCAAACAGGTGACATTTTGGTTTCCAGGATGGCATTCATTTTACCAAGTCACACCAGCCAGGGTGGCACTTGTTCCCAGGAGAAAGTATTTTCTTCCTTGGCGTGATCAGCAAGATATCACAGCAGCAGCCAGCCCCACCCGTTCTTCTGGACATGCAGGAAGTCGCCAGAAGGAAGTCTCTGAGGCCGTAGGCTATCATATCAGAACAGAGATCTGAACTGGGGCATGCCAGCAGGGTGGACAAAGCTCCCCCTTCCCAGCCAGTGGGACAGGGACCTCTTCCCTCCGCTGGGCAAGTCTTAGCTCTTTGTCTGCCCCTCTTCTCTCTTCCAGTCATTCCATCACTCCCCTTACTCTGAATCAAAGACTTCACAGAGGTTTCACACTCTTGTCCCGATGTGCCTTGGATTATATTAGTTGTGAAGAGTCTGTCTTCCCTGCCAGTCTGAGAGGCGCCCAAGAGCAAGGATGGACCGAGTTACCCACAATCCCCCTCTATGCCTTAGGCCGTGCCTTTTGTATGCCGTGTGACCTCAACAAATCCCTTGATGTTTCTGGGACTCAGTTTCTTCAACAAGTCGAACCAGATGCCATCTCAGGTCTGTCCTAGCTCAAGTGATCTAGGCTTCTATGGTCTGAACAACTAGCAGTCAACCTTCAACCCTTCCCCTCACCCTGGTCTTGGTTTCACCAGCACCTCCTACCCCTGTTTCATCTTGGTCTACCCATCAGCCTCCCCTGCCTCTCGCTCTCCTCTCCTGTTTCTTCTCTAAAGCACCAGAGAAACCATGGGGCTGGCCAGGGGCTCAGGGCCATTCAGAAGGAAAGTTCCCCAAGCAGTCCTCCTTCCTGAAATGGGGAACGCAGGATCAGCCCAAGCTCCCACTCAAGAACTAGCACCAGAGCTGGCCAGGGTGTCCACTGGTTAGAGCTCTGGTGTGGGGTCAGGCCCTTGGGTTCTGTCTTCAGCCTTGAGGCTGCAACACCATCTCCTTTGGCCCCAGGCTTCTCGCGTTGCCAGTGGAGAGCCCTTCTCCAGCCGTTAACCTCCAAGATCATGGTGGGAGCCCTGAGCCATCCTCGCCTTCTCCCAGCTCCCTTGAGGCATTGAGGGTTCGTCCTTCCCGGCCCCTCATGGAATGTGGCTCCCGTCACACAGCCCTTGAATAATAACCACAATATTCCTAGGACATTATGGTTTTGGTTGTTCTCACCAGAGCAAGAAAATGGAGGCCTCGAAATGTCTTATGGTGGCAGAGGCCGGATGTGCTCCACGTGTCCTGAATGCCGGCTCTTTCCCGCAGTCCCCTTGGCAGGATGCACTTGCTGTATCCATAGCCCTTGCTGCGATCATGCCCCCAGCCCGCCTTCGGGCTTACTTGAGCTATGCTGCCCCCTGTGCCTCACCTCCCTGTGTGCACCTGGAAAACTCTACCCATCCTTGAAGATTTCACTCAAGCCCCGCCCCCTAAAGCCTTCCTTAAACCTCCCTCACCCCAATCCTGGGCTAAGGAACCCTTCCTCCTTACAGCCCTTCCTCCCTGTGTTGTACGCAGGGATTGTCTCGCTTACCTCTTCCAGAAGGTGGTGGCCGTCTTAAGGACAGGAGCCGTCTTTTTTATCCTGTACCAGCACCCAGCCCAATACCGGGCAGAATCTGTCCTCAGGAAATGTTTGTTGACGGACTCAACAGTGACACAGTAGGCGATTAGGCAGATATGAGCAGAATAGAAATGAGCCCTGACTGGTGTAGCTCAGTGGATTGCGCACAGACCTGTGAAGCAAAGGGTTGCTGGTTTGATTCCCGGTCAGGGCACATGCCTGGGTTGCAGGCCAGGTCCCCAGTGGGGGACACATGAGAGGCAACCACACACTGATGTTTCTCTCCCACTCTTTCTTCTTCCCTTCCCCTCTCTCTAAAAATAAATTTTAAAAAATTTTTTAAACTTAAAAAAAAAAAAGGAAAGAAATGGTAGGCCAGGCCAGGGACAGGTCAGAAAGCCCCAGGTACCTAGCAGCAGGCAAAACTGGGAAAACAAGTATTTTAGGACCTGGCCCCCAAGGTGACCTTTCTCCCCCTGCATATCACTGGTCCTGTGCTTCAGACCCTCCCCTGGCCTTTCCTCCCTAGTCACGCAACAGACTCCCTTGGAGGAGGAACAAGGGAGCTGGAGGGAGACTAACCTCATAAGACTCCCATTCAAGCCCTTGCACGACCACTCCCTTAAACATTAAGTGCACAAGTCAGTGAGGTTCTGCCCTGCATCAAATAATCTTAGAAACGAGGCCTCGGGGAAGCTGACCATAGAGACAGAGTTTCGGTGAAACTAGAGGTAACCTCCAGGCTTCAGCTGTGTTTTAGCTGCAGCCCCGGAAAATCAGCAAAGCCAGGGCTGGCATTGGACCAGCTGTGAAGACTAATGAATGACCTCCCTGCCCCAGCTCCAACCAATCCGTGGAGGCCAAGACCCTGAGGAGACCCTCTGGGATATTAATGAATGAATGGTCTGTTGAGATCCTCCCCTGAGATCTCCAGATAGAAGTCCTTAAGACAAGGACCCAGCCTGGCTGGTTGGTTGAGTTGGTTGGGCATTGTTTCACAAAGAGAACAGTCGAAGTTTGATTCCCATTCAGGGCACGAGCCTGGATTTTGGGTTCCGGCCCCAGTTGGGGCACCTGTGGGAAAGGACCACTTGATGTTTCTCTCCCTCTCTTTATTCCTCTTCTTCCCTCTCTCTAAAAATAAATAAATTAAATCTTTAAAAAATAAATACAGTCAGGCCCTGGCTGGTGTAGCTCAGTGGATTGAGAGCAGGCCTGTGAACTACAGGATGGCAGTTCGATTCCCAGTCAGGGCACATGCCTGGGTTTCAGGCCAGGTCCCAGCAGGGGATGCGCAAGAGGCAACCATACATTGATATTTCTTTCCCTTTCTCCTTCCCTTCCCCTCCCCTCTAAAGAGGAATAAATAAAATCTTTTAAAAAATAAAATAAAATAAATAAAGTCAATAAATATATCCTGGGGTGAGGATTAAAGAAAAAAAGACAATAGCCCAGCTCTTTCTCTCTGAAATGTATCCCTGCCTTTCCCCATCTTCACCCAGGAACATTTTCTTTGCCCTTCTTTCCCCTAAACTCCAAGCATCCTTCTTTCGCTCGTGTGACTTGTTTTCTGAGCCCATGCAACCCCGCTGGCTCACTTCTTCTACCTCTGTGACTTTCTAAATAAACCTTCGCCTGAATTCTTAACTCAAGGCCCGAGGTCTAATATCTGGTGCTGTTCATCATTAACATAAGCATCTCATATCCTAGGAAGTCATAGGTAGTGAGACTGCTGTGGTATTAGGCACAGTCCCAGCGGTGGGCGCTGTCCACTCTGCCTTTGAGTTTTCAGAACCAGGATGTTTCTAGCTGGAGGCACTGGAAGAGAGTCAATAGAGACCTCGCGGGCTGGGCTGCAGCAGAAAGAGGGAGGGAACCTACCCCAGCTGATGTGCCCCAGCTCCCCTTCCCCCTCCCTGGGTACCTGCAGCTCCAGGCAGGACAGAGCACGTTGCTGTGCCGCCCCTGCCAGAGAACATCCCAGGGGAACCCAGCGCCGGGGATTTCCTGGCAGGGAGATGGAAAGATAAAATGATTGCAAGGTACAGCTCTGAGCAGGAATGACAGCAGAGAGAAGAAAGCCGAGCGAGGCAGGGACAGGGAGACCCAGGGACAGGAAATGCTACAAAGGAGAGTCAGGTGGGAACTACTAAGCAGGGAAGGAGGGGGGATGGCCAAGGTGCGTTGCTAGCTCTCTCCTCCAATCATTGCCTGATTCCTTTTAGCCCCTAGTGTCTCCAGTTCCCAAACTCCAGCCTCCGCCTTCCCTCCTGTTACCTCCGGACCCCGGGCTGGCGGGGGCCACACAGATCCCACTCAGCCTCAGCAAGGCTGCCTCTCCGCCCACAGCCTGTGCTCGATCCGAGCTGACATACGTGTGAGCGCTGGCTGCTGTGCCCGACTCGGGACTTTCCAAGGCCAGAAGAATTCATTAGCTCCACAGGCCACAGTCAGCAGTTCCCACACCTGGACCAGGGCTAAGACGCACAGAGTTTCAAGTTCCCTTGCAGAATTCCCACCACCTGGTATCACCTCCTTGGTCTGCCTTGCTGTGCCCTCGAAGGAAGGCAGCAGCCAACAACTAAGCTCACTTTTTTTGTTGTTAATGGTACATTTTTTCTAAAGATTTTGTTAATTTATTTCTAGACAAAGGGGAAGGGAGAGAGAAGGAAAGGGAGAAAAACATCAATGTGTGATTGCCCCTCTCGTGCCCCCTACTAGATATCTAGCCCGCAACCCAGGCATGTGCCCTGACTGGGAATCGAACCAGTGACTCTGTGGTTTGCAGGCCAGTGCTCAATCCACTGAGCTATACCAGCCAGGGCCTAAACTCACTTTTGAGCTAATTCTCCTCCTGGCAACCACTGTCCTGGTCCCCTGGACTTAAGCAGGGATCCCTGGGCACCATGGTTGAGCACTCCAATGGCGGGGCTTCTCCGCACACAGACAAGTCCTTCACTGGGCCTCGTGAGCCTGTTTCCTCTTTTGGGGGGCATGGTATGCAGAGCACCTCTCCATGGAAGGTGTCCCTTTGTGCTGGTGTCCTCTTCCTGGCTCGGCCCCTCTGGAGAGGAAGCACTGGGTGCACTGGCACCAGGTGAAGGTGACCTACTTGCTCTGCTTCTGGTGCCTGATGCCCTCCCTCCACTGCCATCACCGGCCCCATAGGTGGGGCCACTCGGCTGGCCCAGGAGAGCAGACAGGAGGCGTGGGCACCAGGCTGTGGTGGGCGGGGACTAGGAGTGACGATGCAGGGAAAAAACGCTTAGAAAGTGGGAGAGGTCCAGGTGGGGCAGGGGGAGACAAAGGGGTGGAGGAGAAAGAGGTGCCCTGAGGCTCAAGGGCGGCATGATGTCGAGGAAAGGTGGTTTCTGGTCAACAGGGTGATTGCAGAGCCAGCCTTGGCCAGCCCTTGGCCAAACACCTGTGCTTACAGATAGCTTTTTTTGTGGTTTAACCTCTCTCTCCATGCAAGGTGGATGGCTGTGGGCTTCTCTAAGTCTCTGAGTGTGCAAAGCTGGGACTTCATGTGTGCATTTCTATGAACACAAGTGTTGTTGTGCCCTGGCTGGTGTGGCTCGGTGGATTGAGCACCAGCCTGCAAACCAAAATGTCACCAGTTCAATTCTAAGTCGGGGCACATGCCTGAGTTGTGGGCCAGGTCCCCAGCTGGTGGCATGTGAGAGGCAACAGATTAATATTCTGTTCTCTTCCTCTCTTTCTCTCCTCTCTTCCCAGTCAAGGAACATACGTAGGTTGCAGGTTCAATCCCTAGCCAGGGTGTATACGGAAAGCAACAAAGTGATGTTTCTCTCTCACATCAATGTTTCTCTCTCTCTCTAATATCAATAAATATATCCTTGGGTGACAATTAAACAAAAAAAATACCAACTCTGCCATTCTTGACCATGTGACCTTGGGCTAATGTCTCTGAATCCAAAGCCTCATGGGAAAATGAGAACAATGGTCCCTCCCTGGCCGGGATGTTGTGAGGAGCTAGTGAGAGACTGCAGCTGAGCCTTAGATTTGTTTTTAGCGCTAACTCAGCTCACTCCTCTTCCCAGTCCCCCTACACTCAGGCAGACCTTTTCCTGGAGTCTGGGGGTAGAGGAAGCATAAGCAGCCAAGCCTGAGACGGGACCCTTCAGCTGTTGACATAATTTCCTCTGAACTCCCCAGGAGGAGACTGAGAGCAGAAGTGCCAGGGTAGATGTTCTTACCTCCAAAAGCCCCACGTCCCTGAAGTTCCTGGCCGGTTCCAGTCCTATCCCCTTGGGGCCCTAATCCAAGACCTGCTGCCTCCACTAACCCTTCCCCACCCCCAGCCTCCTCAGACCCCCCCCCCCCCCGCCCCCGTGCCCAGGCGCAGAATCAAAAAACCACCCAGACAAGCATCGTGAGGGTAGCATCGCTGTTATTATTACTACTGTTAATAAGATCCAGAAGTCATCATTTCCATTTCAAAACCCTTTTAATAGGACACAGCAATTTCGATCATCCGTAAAGTCTTTACATAGGGGAGATGCCACAATCCCTCCCCCGCCAGATATGCACTTTGACTCTGTGAGGGTGGGGGTCTTGGGCTAGAATGGAGGGGCAGAGTGGCAGCTCTGGCTTTATCTTGACCCGAATCCTCCAACCATTAGAAGAAAAAAACGGCCCAGAACCCCCTCCCCAAATCCCCCAGCCTTACTAAGGAATAGACAGCTACAGAATTCTATAAAAATATAAAAGCTTAATCTGCCAGCCTAGGCAACAAAACTAGAAATTTTATACAGTTTTGCTTTAGAAAAAAATGGCTGCTTTTACATACAAGCACCGTCCCCTCTGCCCACCCAGGGAGGACAGAGAAGAAAGAATCTGTGTTCGGGTCAGACCCCAGAAGGCTCAAACCAGGTGTTGGCTGTAAGGAGCGGTATCACTCCTGTCCAGGTTAGGAAACACGAGGTCAGAAACATGAGATTGATAAAAGCCTCCGGTTTCAAGGCCTTGCAGTCGGGCCCTCCCCCACCCCCACCCAAGTCTCACCCTCACCCCTCCGGTCCCAGGTTAAGACAGTGGTGGCTGTGAGGGGGGCTGCCAGCTGCTGTGAGGTTTCAAGAATCCCGGGGTTTGAAGGTGCTGGGCATGTCCAGGGGAGTGGGTGTGGGGTGGTGTTTGTGGGGGGCTGGCAGGGAACAGGCTGCTTGAGCCTGTGGTTGGTGCCTGCGGCGCTGCCTTTTGGCACCAGGGTTTCAGAGAAGAGAATATTGCCCATGGTAGCACCAGAAAGGAGGTTCTGGGCCACGCTGCCAGCCCCTCCACCTCTCTCTTTCTTCCTTTCCCTCCGTCCTCCCGGCTGGTTCCCATGGGGCAGGCAGCAGCAGGCCCCGTAATCACCTTTCAGGTACTTATTCATCACCCCCCAGGGGCCGACTCCCTATTCAGTGGCCTGGCTTCCTGACCCTACCATTTCCACTGGGAGGTCACTTCTGGATACCTGGCCGAGGCCCCCTCGATCTGGGGGGTGGGGCACAGCAGCCTGCTGTTTATACAGTTTAATCCCATTGCCTGCCCTCCTGGGGGTGGGGGCCAGCCCTGCTGGCCAGTGCCACACTCCCTGCCCCCAAAGTGGGAGGCTGGAGACCAGACCACTCAGGTCACCCCTGCCGAAGCCTGAAAAGAAAACCCAGAGGCTCTGACAGCCGAAGCTGCCTCTCCTGGCCTCAGTTGGCTCATTAACTAAAACAGCTTCATTATGCCGATTTCCAGCTTTCAATGCGAGGCTGATAGCTGTCAGCAGAAATAAGAGTTAATCTGGAATTACAGTCACAGAGCTGCCTGGCTCGGAGGAAGTGATAAAGCTCTGATAGAAGTCGGAGCATCTTATCTGCCCGGGCTTCCCCTCAAAGGGGGGCTTCTCCCCTCCTCCCTGGCTCCAGGGTGGGGGTGGGGGGACTGAAAGGTTGCAGCAGCCCTGGGGGAGAGACACATGGCTTCTCTCACCCTCAGGCACGAACACACACACACTAATATACTCACATGTGCACACATACACACACCCATTTATAGACTCACTCATGCACTAACACACATACACTCACTCCTTTACACACACGCACATGCATTTATACAGACACATCCATACGCATCCATTCATCCACACACTCATCCACATCCAAACTCACAAACTCACACACCTACACGCAGAGGCAGCTGGGACCGCCCCCTGCCCCCCCTCCGCCCCCAGGAGTCCCTCTCCAAGGCCGTCTGGACGAGCCTAACTGTCCCTTGTGCTTTTACTCTGCACCGTGATTAACTTTTTATTTTGGAAAATTACTTTATTATATAGATATAGATATGTATGTATGTATATATAAAAAGGTTCCATTTCATTTGTAAAATCTTGGTTTTTTCTTTTTCTCTTTTTTTTTCCTACAGAAAATGATGACGAGGTTCAAGGAGAAAATAAGTTACATTGCAGTTTCCAAAATGGTTCTCGCTCTCCGCGGAGGACGGGCCACCGTCAGGGCTGTGATGCACTCGCGGTCCCAGCTTGTGCTTTGCAAGAAGAGGGAATATAACTAGACTGGTGATTTTAGGTTAAAATAGCCGAGAGACAGACGCCTTCGCCTCAAAAATATTCTGAGACACATAAAAGTAGAAGGAAACAAGTCTCTTCAGTCACAAAATGTCGTACATCCCGCATATACTAGATTCAATTAATTTAATAAAATAGAATATACATAGAGATTCTGCACAAACGTATTGCTTTCTCCCAACAGCTCCTGGTGTCGGGAACCTCAGCTACACTGGGCCTCTCTCTTTCCACCGGGAGCCAGGGTGGTCAGGGCCACCGCCTCCAGCCCTCTCTGGAAGTCCTGCTTTCGCCAGTGCCCAGCGCCGCTGAGGCAGGGAGGAGCCCCTCCTCGGTCTCCACGTGGGACTTTTGTCAGGAATATAGCCCAGGAGGAGGAGCTAGGATTTGGCACCCAGTGGAGGAAGGTGAGTGGGAGAGTGGGGCAGGACTCAGGGGTCCAGGTCTGCCGGGTCGGAGGGTAAACCGGAGACACCCAGCATGTCTTTCTTTGGGGAGGGCGAGGCAGCCATGCTGTCGGGGGGGCCAGAGGCCAAGAGATCCTTGGAGTCGCTGGACGGAGCCCGCCGCCGGAGGCAGATGCCAGGGCTGGGTGGGGGCCGAGCGCCCTGGCTCTCTGGGGGGTCTATAGAGATACTGGGCGGACTGAGTTTTTTCTTGGGCCGGCTCCCTGGCCCCCCAAGAGGCGGCCCCCCGAGGCTAGAAGGGCCAGGGCCCAGGTGGGCTTGGGATCCGCTGTCCAGGCAGCTGACAGCAATGGAGTGTCTCCTCTGTTCCTCCAACCAGGACGTGGGCCGGCGCCGGCAGCTCTGGGCCTCCACGCTGTAGCACTTCTTCAGGTCCCGCGGGCACGGGGGCTCCTCCTGGCTGCCGACCGCCAGGAGGTCTCCTGAAATCCAGCTCAGCTCCGTGTCCAGCTCTAAGCTGCTCCTGGCCTCTGGTGGGCTTTTGCCCCAGGTGGGCTCTGGGCCTGGGCAGGGGACTGGCGGGTGCGTGTGCTTCAAGATCTTGCTCTGGCTGCGGGAATGCTGCTGCACCTGGGTGCTCAGCCGGCCCCAGAAGGAGGAGGTCCGGGCCAGAGGTGGGGAGGGCCCGCTCGCCTCTGACAGCAGGTCCTCCCTGCTGCCCAGGCCCTGAGCATCCAGAGAGTCGGTCCTTATTGCTGCCTGTATAGGGTGGGGCAGGGGGAGGCTCAGCCTGGGGGCTTCCTCTCCCCCATAAACTGTTCCACCACTCAAGCCAGATAGCCCTCGCCTCCCACCTCTCCCCCCACCTCCAGGGAGCTGCAGAATCACCCCAAACAGGGCTACCAATATTCGCTGTTGCTAGGCGATGGGGGCCATGTGCATTCTGTCCTCTAGCCTCCCCCACTGCCCCCTAAGCCTGCAATTCCCAGTTCTGGGGACACAAGAAAACACCGGGCCAGCTCTGCTCCCCAGCTGGCTCCTTCAGGCCTCCCTGCCTCTGCCTAGGCTTTTGGGCCTTTAGCACCCCTCAACTTCACGGGCTCAGGTCCTGTGTGACCTAGTAGCTGGGAATCCCCACCCTCAAATACAGTGGACCTCTCCCTCTTCTTTGTGCCCTGCCACCCCAGGCACATAAACATCCCAGTGCTGTGACTTGAAAGGTTTGAAGGGTGTATGTCTCCGCTCTCAGACCCTGAGTCCTGGAGGGCAGGGCCTGGCACATGCAGGCTGCTCAGGGAATACTTGCAGGAGGGATGAGGGTAGGGTTGAGCGGATCCCCATGAGGCCCTGTGTACACGTAAGGGCACACAGAGCATGGGCTGTGGGCTTGTCGCTGGGGGGCACACAAGCCTCATCTGGCTACAGGAGCCTGTGCTCTGTGCCCCTGGACTGTGGGCCCTGGAACGCAGGCCCCTACAGTGTGCCTCGGGCCTCTTAGCTAGGCCTAGTCGTACAGAGAATAGGGAGGCAGCTCTGAGATGAGGAAAGGGAGTTAGAGACCTGGGCTCTATCTCCAACTTCTCCAGCGTCCCTGGGCTCCAGGCCTCCTCACTAAAACAAGGGAGGGTGCAACTCCAAGAGGGCATGGCCCACTCCTGCTTTGTCTGGCACCGTGTCTTGGGTACCTAGGGTGGCACGTCACTGGCTCATAGTGAATGTTTGCTGGGAGAATGAAAAGTGGCAACTAGGATTCGCAGCAGAGAGGCCGGCCCATAGCCCACACCCACCTCTTCGCAGCTGCTCACCTGGCGTCTAAGTGGCCTCTGGGCCAAAGGGGAGCAGCCTGGAGGGGGCAGCTTGGGGATGGTGCTCCAGGTGGGGGCGCTGTGGGGCTGCAGCAGATGGGGTGCATCTTTGGGAAGCTGCAGGATATAGTTGGTGTCTGCTGGTTGGGAGTGAACAGACAAGACAGAGCCTGGGGGGGGGGGCGGGATGTGGGGGAAGGAGGACAGAGAAAAGCTGAAAGGTCAACCAGTCTCCTTCCCACCTGAGTCCCCTCCCTTCTCCTCTCCCTCCCCTAACCCGGGCCTCCATCCACCCTTATCACAGAACCCTCACCCTGGTTTGGAAGCTGCCTCCCTCAGGCAGGGGCTGGGTGCCCCCTTTCAGGCTGGGGGTGCTCCACTGAAGTAGGAGACAATCTCTTTCACTGCCTCACTTCCCTCCCAGGTCAAGGAAGTGGTCCCCGGTATGAGCCCAGCTGATCTGCTCTCAGTTCCAGTACCTGACTGAGCTTTGGGGAGTCCCCAGCCCCTATGTCCCAGGGACCCCTCGGCAGTGCTTCCATCCCGGCACATGTAGCTGTCGTTGGGCAGAGAGTGGGTCCGGCTGACCCCAGACTTCCGCACAGTGAGCAGGTCTGGTCCCAGCGTGATGGGCATCTCCTCCGGGTGGGGCACCATCTGCGAAAGAAACAGGGGAGGGGGGCGGGAGGAAGAGGGGGCATCCAGATTGGGTAACTGAGGCAGCGCTGGACAACAGAAAGCAACAGCCCCCCTCCACCACCGCCCAAGGCCCTGGCCCCATCCCCTTCTCGGACAAGGTGGTGATGGGATGAGTGTGTTGGGCAGAAGGGGCAGACACACGGAGGAGGCCTCCACACACGGGGAGGAGGGAGGTGGGGGGAGGCCCTGCCCCTGGAAAACCATCCACACGGCAAACCTTGGAACCTCCCGGTGGGGATGGCGGAGGGGTGGGGAAGTGTCCAGGGGAGTGAGAGCAGCCCCCAGCCCCCAGCCCTGCAGGTGGTTCAAGAGCTCATTCTCAGGGCCTCATGGAGAGGGGCTGAAGAACCACACCTGAGGATCAAAAGCTAACAGCAGCCCCCTAATCCCCCCATCTGCTGCAGCCCCTAATCCCCCACTGCTGGGGAGGTGGGACTGGGGAGTGAGGGAGGACCGCCACCAGTGAGCCCGAGACTTGGCAGCTGGGAACTGCCTGCAGAGTCCAGGCTAAGTCGCCATCCCGTTCTTTAAGGCAGCCTCAGCACACAGTACTGAGCATGGGCTGAGTTAATGTGGGTTGAATGGCAGATGAACACTAGGGGATGTCACAGCGGCTTCCCCACCTGTCTCCCCGCTTCCCTTTTAATTACACAATGGGGGAGGGCTGGCTAGTACTGGTGGGGACGGGGGGGGGGGGCAAGGCCCGGGAACTGTGGACTCAGGTCCTCCCTTGTAGACAGACTGGGGATTAAGGTTTTTTTAAAAAAAATCTATTTCAAAGAAAGGCAGTCATCAGCCTTTGACCTCAGCCAAAGGGAGACAAGGTTTGCTCCCACAAAGATGTCTCCATCTCCCAATCTGTTCCTAGTTCTCAGGGAGGCTGTAGGGTCCCCACATGGGCCCAGCCAATTGAGCACCCCGCCAGGCCTGAGGATGGCTGTGTTGAGACGGTCTGGATCCTTTGCTCCCCACCCCAGCCCAGGTTCCACTTCTGCACCCACCCCGAGACCCCTAGGGATCCCCAGCCTGTGGTCAGCACAGAGCCCTGCTGTGAGGAAGGGGGGGCCCTGGTTTCCTCTTTCAGTCCCAAGAGAAAGGAGAAGGAAGGGAGGAGGGGGCTGCTCATAGTCAGAAGGGGCTAGGAGTCGGGCAAGGGTGGACAACTGTCAAAACACAGAAACACACAGGGACAGTGACAGAGGAGACAGAGACGGCCCCCCAGGTGGAGGAGGGCAAGGTGGTGGCAGCAGAGATGTGACCTTTCCCCACTACATGGTGGCGGATGGCAGAGGGTGGGGGGCAGGTGAGAAGGAGGGGTGCAGGGAGGGGGAGGGCTGGCTTGCACAGGGCTCCAAGCTCAGAGACGGATTCTGCATCTAGGCAGGCCCCTTGGCCAGCTGCCTGATGCCACTTCTGTTTTGGGCTGGGCCACTCCTGGGTGTCTGCATGAACCCTTTCACGCTGCTGCCGCTGGGCTCTTCTCAGGCAGGCCCCACTTTAATTTCATCTAATTTCTTTGTCCACAGTGGGGGACCTGAAAGACCTCACAATGCCTGGAGCACCAGGTGCCTGCCGGTTGTGCCACTGCGCTGGGGGCCTGGGTGCAGAGTGAGAGGAGGGGGGATCTGGAGCCCTGCAGCCAGCCCAGCCCCTGGGGAGGCTGGGGGGCAGTGAGGGGCTGTGCATGTACATTGCTCTCCGGGGCACTAAGTAAGAGTGTGTGAGTGTCATCAGGCAAAGAGTCATCCGTCAGAGCTAGAGAGCAGGACGGTTCAGACACAATCTCTGACGTCAGAGACAGAGCCTCCATCTCAGCTAGAGGGATCTAGACAGGGAGAGAGATGATCAGGCGTAAGAAACCAGGACAGCGTGCACCCTCGCGTGTGCACGCACACACATGCAACGCACACGCACGTACACAGAGCCCCTCTTCCCCCCTTTCACAAAGCACAGGGAGGAAAGGCCTCCCTTCTCTCTCCCCCCACCCGTTTCCCAAGTAAACTGAGCGCTCCGCTCCTCCCCTCCCCCCACTTTAAACCCGCACTGATCAGAGAGGCTGCGGCAGGCACCAAAGAGCCAGAGCAAACACTGACAAAGCAAGAGACACAGAAACATTTTCCAAAGATACCCCAGGAGCCTAACAGCCCCTCCCACACTACCACCACCCAGGGCAGAGCGGAATGGGGGAGGGCTTTCGACTCATAAAGATACCAGGGAATAAAATCAAATCAAAGGAGAAAGGCCAGCAAAGCTCCTCTCTGCTCTCAGCACAGACAGAGCGGCGTAGGGGGTGCTGGGGACAGAGCCGCCAATCTGGTGGCTGTTTTCTGCCTAGTCTCTCTGCTTCCAAAAGCCTGGCAGGACTCGGCCTGCCCCCAGATTCTGGCTTCTCCCCTCCTGGGCCCTCCTCCACACCACACTCCACTCTCTCCAGCTTGGGTTCTGGGAGATGCTGTCCTCAAGCCAGCTTTAATTGGACACACCTGAGTGGGCCGACACACCATCTGGCTGTCTCACCTGGGATCTGCAGAACTACAGGACCCTGAGGGAGGCTGGGGTCATCCCCTCAGGTGAGCTGGCTGCTCTGATCACTTCTCATCACATCCTCTTCTCTCCCAGCCCCTTTGCCCATGAGCCTCCTTCAGGATGGGGGGCCTCAGGAAGGATTTGCTCTCCCTCTTATTACTGTAGGTCAGGGGTGTCAAACTCATTTTCACCAGGGGCCACATCAGCCTCCTGGTTGCCTTCAAAGAGCTGCATGTAATTTTAGGACTGTGTAAATGTAACTAACTACTCCTTAACAGTTACGGGAGAACTCAACACTGCCACTAGGTAGAAACAAGGTGTTGGGCTGGATAAAACAAGGCAGAGGGCCAGATTCGGCCCTCAGGCCTTGTGTTTGCCACCTGTGCCCTAGGTCATAGCCAGGTTCAGGTCCCTACGGCCTATCTGAGACTGATTCCTACCTAGTGTCAGGAACCCTGGAGGCAAGGCCCCTTCCCCTGTGAGGATCAGATGCCGTAACCTGCCTGCCGCCCCTTCACCCAACAGGGCCTAGGGAACGCTGGGCTTTTCTGTCTCCAGCTGGTACCTGTTTTCTTGCCTGCGTTTGAGGTCTACCACAGTCTCTGACCTGGGAGAGGATTGGTGCGGTGTTCCAGCACATGGAGGGGGTCGAGGGCAGCCAGACAGGTCGCAGGGAGAGAGGGGACCCCAGAAAGCAGAAGATCCATGTTTAGATGGGGCTGGGGTGGGGGCGGAAATCACCTGGCACTGTGGGCAAGGGCTGGGCTTGGGGAGGAAGCTGAGGCTTACGTTACAGCGGAGGCCCCAGGCCCCATGCCCAGCCGGGGCCTTCCGATCCTTCTCAGGACCAGGTCAGACCCACTGGGTCTGACAGCAGCCATCGCCCTGGCACAGAGGACTGGGCGATGGTTGCTGGTTTGGGAGAAGAAGCGGACTGTGGCCTAAGACATGTCCCTCGGTGGGTCCCCTTGCCACCTGCACTGTCCCTAGAGGCCTTTCTCTCCTGGATCTGGCACCTCACTTCCTCCACTCCCTGAGGTCACAATGCCAACTGGTCTTCTGCTCCACCCTCCTCTTCTCTTTCAGTTTCTTCATAACCAGTGCTCTCTGCAAAACCTGTCCCCATCCACCCTATCGCTGAGAAGGGCAGTCTCAGCATCCCTATCTCCCAGCCACTTGTCCCAGAGACCGATCTCAGGCTGAGCGACACCTGGGTGCCTCCTGCCAAGCCCGAAGCTCAATGGAGGCCCTGAGGCTGCTCTTTCTGCAGATACCCAGTGAGCAGGATACACCCCACCTCCCCAGAAGCAGGCACAGCATGGCACAGCTCGGCAGGGTCAAGGGAGGGGGCACAGCACGGGCACAGTAACCTGTGGGTCGGAGCCGCCCGCGCTGCTGGCTGGAGGGAAGGCAGAGGGCTGGCCCCATGGGCCTGCCAGCTCGTCCATCAGCTTCAGCTCCCCCTCCAGGGAGCCCTGGATCAGCAGGGATATGGTGTCAAACAGCTGTCTGTCCTGGGAAGGACCAGCCCGTAGGGGGCGCCGGAGAGTCAGGGAACAGGGGTCAGAGGGGCAGTGACAGAAAGTGTTGTGGCAGGGGATTGACCAGGGACACAGAGGGAGAAAGAGGACACACGCGTACACACACACACATACATACACGTGCACACACAACAACAAAGAGACGGGAAGAGGAGGGATGGGGATGGCGGGGAATAGAGGGGTGGGAGGAGGAAGGAGAGATGGGAAATGGAAATAAGCGCCCACGGGGAGAGGAAGAAGGGGAGAGAAGACCGGGGAGAAGGATTGAGATGGAATCGGGCAGGTGGAGGGTGGAAAGGGAAGGGGTTTGGTAATTGGGCAAGGGTAAGAAAGAAACAGGAAGGAAACAGAAGACTTAGCCTTGAACCTAAGAGCCAGGAAGGGGAGGCCAGGTCGGGCTGGAGGCTCGGGATGGATGAGCCAGCACATACGTGGCTCTGGGCAGTAGGTGTGGGCTGCCATCTCTGGGGATGGGCAGGGGACAGCGAGCCTTGCCACATCCAGCCAGGTGCAGCAGGAAGGTCCCTACCACAGTAGGGCTGCAGGAGCCCAGGAGGAGCCCTTGGGTCTGTTGGGCTACCCACTCCCTGTATGCGCCCCACCCCGCTGAGCCCTTGGCCATCTGTCCCAGCTGTCTCCCTCCCCACACCCCTTGCAGCAGGTGTGGGTGTGTGCTCACCGTGGGGTGCTCCAGGGAGTAGCGAGAGGCTGCACCAGCGTGGGTCCCAGCATGCGGGGCCCCAGGCTTGGGGCTGTCAGGGCTGTCGGGGCCCTCCACCCCAGGCCAGAGGAAGGGGCTGCCCAGCGGTGAGTGGGGCTGCGGGCTAAGCGTCTTCATCTCTAGCTCCAGCTCCGCCTCCAGCTCAGCCTCCTCCTTGGCCTCCTTGTTGCTCTCCTCCAGGTGCTTCATCAACACAGCGATCACCACATTGACCAACACAAACTGGGCTGTCAGCACGAAGGACACGAAGTAGATGGGGGAGATGACTGTGTTGTAGCAGGTGGACTCCTGGTCACAGTCCCGAAGGGTATCCTGAGGGAGGTGGAGGGAGAGGGGTGAGGCTGGGGGGGACAGTGAACGGACCTGTCATGGGAAATCAGGCCACCAGAGAGCATTGGGAGCTACAGTGTCTGGGGGCAGGGGAGCATTAGACACTGGCCTGGGAAGGGTGAGCTGGAGCCCACATCCCGGGGAGATGGAGGCCCACAGTGTTCTGGCATTTGGGGAATAGAAGGGCACTGCTTTTATTCACCTCTTGCCAAGGAGTCTTGGCTCAAGGAATAGGGCTGTCTCCTTGGAGCCCGAGCCAGCCCTGGGGGTACCCCACTGCAGGAAGCTCTCACCTTCATAATGCCATTCCAGTTGTCACCTGTGGAGACTCGGAAGAGGGTCAGGAAGGCCATGCCGAAGTTGCGGAAGGTGGCATGCCGGCCCAGGCCCTCGCAGGGGTGCGTCTCGTCACACTCTGGAAGCGGGGAGGAGAGAGAGACCCGAGTTAGGCCAGGAGGCCCTAGGTCCCCAGCTGTGGCTCCTCCACCCTCCCCTCCTCGACTCACCCAGGTCTCCAAAGAGCTCCACGCCCAGAGCTGCAAAGATGAAAAACAACAACATGAAGAGGAGTCCCAGGTTCCCCACCTGGAAAAGAGGAAAGGAATGGAAACGGCGCCGCTGGGTCTCCCGGCCAGCTTCCCTGAGCCCCGACCCCTTCGGAGAGCACCCCCGCCCTGAGAGGACCCCTCCCACCCCCACCTCCCAGCTACCTGGGGCAGGGCCTGCATCACTGTGTCCAGCAGCGCCCGCATGCCCACAGCCATCTTCAGCAGCTTTAGCACTGCAGAAAGGACAAAGTTGTGAGCTGGCCCCTCTGGGTCTCAGGTCACATAGCTAGTGGGGCCAGGGCCAGGGCTGGGGCAGGTAGGATGGTCAGCCCCAGCTGGCAAGGCTTCCACGGCTCCACTGCCACCCTCAGCCCAGCCCCCAATCTTCCCCTTTGGCAGAGGCTGAAAGACCCACAGAAACCCACAGCCACCCAGTCCCCGGCCAGCCACCAAACTGACCCCTGCTCTCTCCCCCAGGGCCAGTCCCCCTGGGAAGGCAAGTGTGGTGGGCGGGCAGCTGGGCACTGACCTCGGGCGATGCGCAGCACCCTCATGATGCGGATGATGGTGGGGTTGATGGGCAGGGAGGCGTTGACCTCAATCTCCTCCAGCGTGATGCCCATGATGGAGAGCAGCACAATGGCCAGGTCCAGCTGGTTCCACCTGCAAAGCCCAGGACACAGACCCCTGAGTGTGGGGTGGGGGCACTGAGGAGGAGGAGGAGGAGGAGGAGGAGGTAGTTTAGGCTACAAAAGGAGGGTGGAGGCCGGCCAGTCCAGCCACCCCACCCTGCGGAGAAGGCTTGACTTGTCTCCACCCACTTAGCCAGTCGGTGGCACAGGCAGGGCTGCGACTTCAGCTTGAGCCTCTGCTTTTCACTGTTGTTTATTCGTTTTGTTTGTTTGTTTGTTTTTTAGTACTCATATGGTGCTTGCTGTGTGCCAAGCACCGTTTTAAGGGCTTTACAAATAGGAACTCTCCATGATGTGCATTCTACTATCTCCCATTTTACAGATGAGGAAACTGAGGCACAGAACCATTAAGTAACTTACCCAGGGTCACCAGTTTCTAAGTGGTGGAGCCAGGATTCAAGTCTGGTTCAGGCAGTCTGGCTCCAACCTCTTTGCTTTTAAGCTCCAGTCTAGGCCACACTGATTTCCAGCTGCCTGTGTCCCCAGGCCCTGTCTTGTCAAATTCCCTTCCTTCCCTCCCGTCTCCCGGGCCCTGGATGTCACACACCCCACCCCGCCATCACCCCTCGGTAGGTTCTGGAGTAGAGGCTGACACTCAGGAGTCCAGAGAGGTCTTCAGGCATTAGATCCTTCCCCAGTCCCACACACCCCTCTTCTGTTACCTGTCCTGGAAGAACCGGCGGAAGCCGAAGGCCACAAGTTTGAAAACTGACTCCAAGACGAAGATGACGGTGAAGATGTAGTTGCAGATCTTCAGAGCCTCGTCCAGGATCTGGCAGGGATGGGTGGGGCATGTCAGGTAAGGCCAGGGATGCCACCTGCCCCCTACGTTGTACCTCCCAGATCTGGGAGACAGCTGAGCCTAAGAGGCCCTTTCCCCTGTGTTCTCACCCTGATGGCTGGCCACTGGTTACTGCTCTAGCACAGAGTGGGTCCTCACGCACACACACAAGACAAGCTTTGTGCTAAAGGGTCTGTCCTGGAGGGAGGCTGAGACCACAGGACAAACATGCTGTGCAAGAGCTGGGAGGGGCCTGGTGTACAACCAGTTCAACACCCCTATTTTACAGATGGGAAAACTGAGGCCCAGAGGGCGGCTAATGAAGGAGGCGGCTCAAGTCAGGGTGGCTCCTGACTTGAGAAGCGGCAGGATCAGTGGTGAGCTTTGGAGCTGGACATTCATAAGAACCTACTCTCCAGAAGGGCTAGTCCCAGTCTGCCTTCTTTACCCTCAAAAGTCCAGAGCCCCACACAGGGCAGACACTCGACAACAAGATGCTGGGTGAAGAAACCAGGTGCTCTACTTCCAGGCTATGTGACTTGGGTCAAGTTATCTAATCTCTCTGAGGCGCACTGTCCTCATGTGTGGAACTGAGACCTACCTCCAAGGGTAGCGAGAGGGGTACGAGAGGAACCCACACAGAGAGCCCAGCTCAGGCAGGGCCGGCCTCACCCCTGTGGTCCCAGTTGTAGGCAGGGCCTACATGGCTCCTACCTGGGGCTGCTGGTAGTGCTCCATGGCCATGGTGACCACGTTCAGCCCAATGACACCCGTAATGAAGAGATCCAGGTAGTGGCTGGTGCACAAGTGGTGGACGAGCAGTCGGAAGCGGGAGTAGTCCGAGTAGTAGGGTTTGCACTGGGCTTCTGGTGGGGTGGGGAGGGGAGCAGAGCAGACATCGGGCCCTGCCCCCTCTGCCCCCTCCACCCAGTCCCTCACAGCCACCAGCCTCTAACACTCGAGCTGAAACATTCCAGTGTCATCAGCACCCTTGCCCCCCATTTACTTCCTTCTCAGGGGCCTGGGGGAGCTCTCTTGGCATCGCCCCTCCAAGCGTCTGTTCTACTGACTACATTGGGTGCAGAAGGGGTCAGGACATGCAGAGCTCCCCACCTACATTAGACACCAGGTGAGCCCCCACCCTGAGGCAGCCTCCAAAATCCATCAGCCCCTCTTAACACCCTTGACTCAGTGTTCTGCAGCCGGGCCAGATCAATAAGATGAAAAACAACTGGCCTTATCAGGCTCAGAGGTAACTCCATCAACAGAGAAGGGAAAGCTTTTGCTCCTTCACCAGGGGGGAGCGGAGGAGATTACACAGAGCTGGGATTTGGAGATAAAACCGGAGATTGGAAACTGGTCATCTTGGCAGGCTGCGCGATCCCTCTGAGGGCCTCTGGGTAGTGGCGGGGGGCGGAGCCTGCGCCTCCAGCATCCTCAGGTGAGGGAGGGCAGAGGGGAGGCCACAGGGCGCTGCTCTATCCCAGGCTGATCTGGGAGGGCCCCACCTGAAGGACTCACCCGGTTTCTAATGAGGCGATGCCCAGCCTGCTCCTGGGTGTCAGGACGGCGTTAGACCGCAGGCTGGGCTGAAAGCACTGTCTGAGATCTGGCAGAGGCATAGCGTTCCTCTCGCAATCAGCGAATCGCTTAGTTATAAAAACCGTGGTGCCAGAAAGTTGGCCTGCCAAGCGGGGAGAATACATCTGAGGGTAAGGATTGCAGGGGGCCCCTCCTCCAAGTGCTGAGGAAAGGCCAGGACAAGTTGGGGATACATGTCACCCAGGGGTGGTTGACAGATTGGTCTCCCAGGCAGCCACAGAGAAAAAAGAGGCTCCCCACGGGAGGCTTGGGCAGCCTCAGGTCCCAGACAGCCCTTCCCCCTCAGGAAGTCTAGGGCCAAAGCCAGCCGGCACACGCCGCAGCCTCTGAGGCCTGTGCCGGGGTGGCTGGCTCAAGGGGCAGCAGGAAGCTACGGGCCCAGGCCAGCTCCAATGTAATTGTCCTTTCCCATGCAGAGGACTATTGACCAGAGAAGTAAACTGAGGCAGAGAGTGGCCTGGGTGGACCCCCACCAAAGGCCGAAGGAAGAAGAGCGCCCGAGAGCCTTGCGTTCAGCCTCGCCGATGCCACCCTCCAGCATCAGCCTTCGGGTGTGGACAACCAAGGGGTGGCAGGACCAGAACATTCTGGCACACCACAGGGTGTGTTAGTCCATCTTTTACTTTTAGACGTGGGCCAGCCAACTGTGGCTTTGTTTGCTCAGGCGACCCTTCTGACCCTCAGGAGGGTAGGAGGGGAAAGGCCCAGGATGGGGCAACTTGAGGCCACGGGTCGTCCCGTGTGACCGTGGAGGGTGGACCGGGCAAGGGGGCCTCTTCCTTCCTTCCTTCAGTACCCACAAGAACCAGAGGGCGCTAGCCGCCTGTGTTGCCTTAGCAGCTGGAACTCTCTCTGCATTAATCTCCATAAGTGCCGAGAGCACCCGATCCCATTATGCTAAAATATGAATGGAGAATTAACTAAAATGTTTGAATACAATTAGGTTAGAAAAAGCAGCTCCTTATTAGCCCCATTATCGGCTGAGACAATGCCGGGGAGAGGTTGGGAGCGGGCCCCCTCCCCTCTCACTCCAGTCTGACTGTGTAGGCAGCCCCAGGACCACTTAGGCCTCTGCCACCACCTCTGGCTTCTGGCCAGGGACCCCTCCTCCAAGTGGCCCAGAGAGCAACTGGGGAGTCAGGACGACTGAGGCAGGGCATCTGCTCACAGGGGCTGATGCAGTCCCAGGCCTTCAGGTCTGTACAAACGCCCTCCCACCCTGCCCCTCAGACCAGCAGGTGCCTCCAGGGGGCTGCTGGAAGTCCCCTGTGACAGCGCAGGCCCAAAGTGTACCAGGGTTGGTCTGATCCGCACCTCCTCGACCAACCCTCTGTTTTAAAACACCGAGGGCAAGAACGAGGCCAGCAAAAAGCGTGTTGTCCAGACGCTGCGAGGCATTGACAGAGCCAGCACCTAACTCCCAGCTCGAGTCCCTCCCCAGGTCAGTTTAGATACAGAGCCTTGGGGCTTCGGCCCAGAGGGTGCCCTTGCAGTGTCTGCCCAAAGGCCCTTGCTGTTGGGTTCTGGAGGACACCGGCCCCTGGACCTTGGTTTTATCAACAGCACCTGGGCTCACAGCAGAACTTGAGGTCACTGCCCACTCCAGCCCCACCCCCGCCCAGAGGGAGGAGTCTTGGGCAGACTGAGCCAATGGTCACTGGCATGTTGGCCCCATCTCCCTCTCTCCCAATGAACCGCTTAAGGAAAAGAAAATCCCAGAGTCAGACAGCGGGGAGAAGGACACCCCAGGACCGCACAGCTCCCCATCAGGGGCAAGGACACAGGAGAGGTGCAGGCGGGGTGTGAGGCTGTGAGTGAAGGCAGCAGGCACAGTGCGTTAGTAGAGGTCCCTGGGAGCCCCAGGCACAGCCGGGCAGAGGGCTTGCAGAGAACAGTGTCCGGGAGCGGGCGGAAGGCAGTGACACAGGCTCGCCCAGCAGAGGCTGCACCCCCCACTGCTGCGGCTGAGCCTGATCACTGGATTCCAGTGGGAAAAGAGAGGGTGAGTGGAGGCAGGTGTCACACACAGGTGGCAGTGGGAGTGGAGCTGGTGCTGAAGGCCAAGTGGTCACTCGGGCTAACCTGACTGCTTGGGCTGGACCCAGGCGTCCAGACAGGCGCATTCCCCTAATAACCAGAGTCTTTTCCCTTCCGCCTCACCCTGGAGTCTGGCCAGCTACCTCCCAACCCCCCCAGCACTGGGCATGGCACTGGGTGCGCCTGGTCCTAGCAGGGAGGTTGTGGGCGTGTCTGATTCCTGCAGCCCCAGACTAGAGGGTGTGACTTCCTGCCCGTGACACAACTGGATAGGCCAGTGCTGCGGCATCGCCGGCTCTTGGGCACTGATCGGAAATGCAGGTGCTCCCCTCCTACCCCAGTCCACGCCATGAGATTGTGTGGGCGGGGCTCAGCAATCTGTGTAAGAACATGTTCTCTGGGTAAGTCTCATGCACACAGAGGTTTGAAAAACCCTGGCATAGAACACAAAGGACGCCAGGTCCAGGACAGAGGGATAGGGGATGATCTGAGCCCTCCTCGGGGTCTCCGCGGGCTCACTACCCGCTGGAGAGCTAATACACACTATGTGTAGTCAGCGCACACACTTGCGTGTGCCAACTGGAGCACGGCAGAATGTCCCCAGAGAGGGGTACGGCACAAGAGTGACAAGAGTGTTTACCATCGAGTAGGCGTGTCAGGAGTTCGAGGGAGCTACCAGGCTTCTGAGGCTTGGCCCTGTACTAGGTGGTGTTTTGCGGTGAGTATGGACATGTGGACACTTCAGTCTACAGGCCGGCGAACCCACAAAGGGAAGAGCTGCAGGCCACTTCCTCCCACCTTCTCCTCACCCCCTAATGCATCAGGAGTCTGCAGTACAAGCTGGCACCCAGGCGTGAGGCCCAGGCCGTTCAGACACAAACTGGCTGGAGACGCCTGAGCCCCTAAGAGACGATCTCTCAATGCCAAACACCAGAGCTCACCCCATGGGGACAGCAGACATTGATCTGCCTAGGGCCTCAGGGATGACGGCCCAAATGGTGGCTCTGGGGATCCCGCTTGGGTGGGTCCCTGAGCCCCCACAGATCAGACAGCCCAAGGTTCACAGGACTTTTGGCTTCTGGGGGAGGCAGAGTCTGGCTTCTGGGAGAGGCGAAATAGCAAAGAAAGGTACAGCCCAATGGTCCCCAGCCTGAAGCCCCACACCCCCAGCAGCTGAGAAGGCAGCCACATGGGGGTTCTTACATTCTTTTCAATATTTCTAACAGCTTAAAAGAAATTGTACATGTGCCTGTGTTAAGATCCCACAGACAAATTTAATGGCAAAACAGTCCTTTTTTTGGGCTATCATCCAGTGTGAAACCTTCTGCAGCTCAGAAGCTCTGATTAGCAATTACATGTGCCTTTGATTAGCAAACACAGTGAAACAAAGTTATTATTGAAGTGCTCTTAACTTCAAAGACAGTCTTGTAAAACGTGGGGTTTGTTGGAGAGGATAAGGGGGGCCATTGGGGATAAACAGGTTGGGAACCATGGTGTGGAGACATCGGAGGCTGTGACGAGGTCCCCAGCCCTGTCCCAGATTCTCATGATCTCAGAACCTCCGTCTGGGGGCCCTGTTGGGAGGAGCAGGGGCCTGAGGAGCCAGGGAGGGCAGGACCAGGAAGGCCTTCCCAGAGACACGGCTCTCGAAGAGAAGGACCCAACTCGCTCCCAAATCTTTGGTCTTGAGGAGAAGCTCATGGCTAACTCAGGCCTTTGAGTCCCAGTTCCTGCTGTGTGTGGCGATGACGTGCCACCGCGGTTACTTGACTATTAATGAGTCTGTTCAATTATTCATTGTTACATTTTTAAAACAAATCCTTCCCCTTTCTGTTCCGCTCATCCTGCTCACTTGATCAAAGTCTCCCCTTCAGACAAAAGAAGATGGGAGAGATTTGCAGCTCTAATATCGAACAGTGTGACCTGGGAGAAGGAGCAGGAATGGGGGAGGCAGCTGGGGGCTGGGGAGCCCAGGCTGGGGAAGCCTTGGAGGGGAAGGTGGGTCCTTTAAGAGGTGTCTGAGGGAGGAGGGAGCTGAGACCCTCGCCTCCCATCCAGCGCAGCGCTGGTCTACGGGGTGACACAGAAGCCCGGCTCCCCAGGGACCCTCACCCCCTTGCAAGAGGATAGAACCAATCAGCTGTGGAGAGGGAGCAGGAGGCGGGCCTGGGGGCATGCAGGGCCTGACCACCCCAGGGCCACGCCCTGGAACCCGCAACCCCAGACGCAGTACCTGGCGCCGCGCTGGCTGAGCTGCCGGAAGCAATTACATCGTCCAGCATTAGATCTAAAAGAACGAAACACGACATTGGTCACTGGCCGGACCAGGTGGGCTGGGCAGGGCCCTCCCCCTGGGCTCTGACCCTCACTCTGTTTATGAATGGGGTGCACTGAGCACAGGTGGCTGAGTGGCCAGCCCCAAGCTCGGGGCACAGAGCACTTTTGAGGAAGACGATTTAGCCAACTCGTCAGGGTCACGGGGAAAGGAAATCGGAGGCACAGGGAAGGGCAGGCAGCCTGTCATCAGAACACATGTCCCCTCCCACCAGCACCTTGGCCGCAGTAGCACCTGAGAGGGCTACAGACCCCAGAAGGGGAGCCAGCTGGTCAGGCAGGGCCACAAGTGCCTCCTGCCGAAAGAATCTGTCTGCAGACACCCCACAGAGCCAGCAGACTGCCAGGACAGGCGGGCGGACGGAGCAGGGATGGGAGCATGGCTGCTGCGGGTGAGGTACCTGCACAGCTTCAGACATCTGCAGGGAGAGCCAAGAGGGACCCTACCCCCGGGCTGAGCAGGACAACCGGGGCACAGGTATCTGGGTATGGGACACGGACAACTGCACCACCCGCTGCTGCCCAGAGAGGGGTGTTCCCTCAACACCTGCCTTGAACGGCCCCCACCTCTCCTGGGCTCACTGGCTCTGTCCCACCCTCCCCCACCCCCGAATTCTCTCCCCTCACTCCAGGTGGCCCTCACAGGCAGCAGGAGCTAGAGCCCGGGGCAGAGGGGAGCGAGGGGCACCGCAGCCCCTCACCCGTTTGGTGGTACTCACATGTCAACAAACCCAAGAGAACTCGGGGCACTGCGTACATCTTAGCGGCGTAAAGAAGACGGTTTGTGAAAAGGTGGAGAGAGGAAGGGAAACCCGCAGAGCAGACAGAGACAGACACACAAAGGCTTAGAGAAACCCACACATACAGACACTTAGAGAAACGTGGGCGACAGAAAGAAAGAATCGTGGAGATTGCTGAGTACCAGACAGGCAGGCGGGAGCCCCGAAGACAGGGAGACAGGTGCGGACACACCTGGAGACACCACGGAACAAAGGGGCTCCTACACCTGCCACATCTCTTCCGTCCTTCCTGTAACCTGTGTGTCTTTTCACCTGGTCTCGGCCCACCCATGGCAGAAGAGTGTGGGGAGCGGTGAGGAGGGGGGCCTCCCCCAGCGAAATGTTGGGAATCACAGGTGAGGGACCTGAGGGTTCTAAGGCCAGAGAGTCATGTGCTTAGAGTCCCCGTGACCTCGGACCTTCTCTGAGCCAGGAGGAGATTTTTTTATTTTACAGCCTGGCCAAAAAAATGACAGCCAGGAAGTGAGGGAGTTCTGCTGGAGACAGGGAGGAAGAGTGGATCTGGGGTCTTCTCTTGCTGCTGCACATTTGCAGCCTCTGCTGAGACCTTGCTCAGCAGCTACAGACACCAGGCAGGCTCAGGTTCAAGACGCTTCCTCACCAGCCTGGGGCCGGGCAAGGCTGGTCTCTGGACACTGGCCTCGGCCAGTGGAGCATGGTTCTCATCCCATGAGGCTCTTCTGAGAGTCGAGCTGGGAGAGGCTATGCATAACTCCTCTGGGGAGTATGACACTGAGACCTGGGGAGCCCCGAGGGTGGGGGTAGCTCCCCCTCCACCATGGGGCTGAACTGGTCTGCTTCATGCAGTCTATAAAGGCTGACATGCTCTTGGGGGGAGGAGGTGAAGAGGGGGGCAGGGGCATCTTCTCCCTGCCCCCAGCCCCAGCCCCTGACCCCCAACAGTCAGTCGCAAGGCCAAGGTCAAGCAGGACTCAGAGAGATGTGGAAAGACTACCGACCAGCCATCTGCTTCTCCTTACTCCTTCTCTTTTTCTCCAGTCTCCGCAGACGTTTCTCCTCCCGCCGCCGGGCCTCCTCCTCCTCCTGGTGCTGCCGACACTTGTGAAAGTTCTCTACCACCACGCCCACAAACATGTTCAGGACAAAGAAGGCCACAATGAGCAGGAACGAGATGAAGTACAGCAGCATCCAGGGGTTGTGGTTCATGATGGGCTGGCAGGGGCAGGAAGGACAGGAGGAGGCATCAGCACCACGGGTACTGTCTCCGGTGCTGCCCCACCGCCACGTGGGTTCGGTGTTCCGTAGGGAGGAGTGGGGACTATGGCAAAGCGGAGAGCGGCTCTATCTAAAAGGGATAAGGGCTTCTTTGTTCCTGCTGACTCCTGCCCCCAGGGAAGGCAAGTCCAGTGCTCCCAGATCTTGGGATTTGTCTTGAGCAGGCAGGCCCAAGTCTGGGTTTTCATGGGAAATTCGTCAGTTGTTAAGTGTTCACCACTAATTCAAACAATTTAAACATTTTGCAAAGCCAATAAAACATGCCTGGATTTGGCCCTCCAACTACCAGTTACAACCCCTGCTGTAAGAGTTAATGCCTCTTCAACGGCATTTTCCCAGCCTTGCCCTCTTTCTGCCCAGCATCTGCACCTGTCATGCCTGGAGGTGGCCTGTGCTGAATGACCTCACCCCGAAGTTGGGTCCTCCCTGCTTCAGCCCTACCTGCTGGTCCACACCCACGGCATCCAGCCCGTCGTACATGATGTCCACCCAGCCGTCCTTGGAGGCCAGCACGAACAGTGACATCAGGGCCTGGGGAGAGCAGAAGAAGGAGAGGAGACCATCTGAAATCCAGAACTTATGGCCAAACCACCACCCGCCTGTCCTCAGAGCACCTCCCAGCATCAGCCTGGGGGACCCCAGCCTTTCGGAGGTCAGGCCGGAGTCATACTGCAGCCCTCCAAGGGCTCCGTAGCTGGTACGAAAGCAGAGGAGCTGGTGGGAAAGACCACACCCTCTGAAATTTGGGAACGACACCAGGGCGGGTCAGGGAAACACGCCGGCAAAACTGAGGGAAGTGCTTCATTGTGTACACCCCCGTCTCTGCAAACATGGAGTGAGCACAGGATGGTCTTGACGGTCCGCCTGAGCTCTGTACCGTGCCAAGCAAACACACGTGGTCTCACTGCATCCTTCCTGTGAGCCTCCAGGGAGACACCACTAGGGCCCATTTGCCAGCTGATGAAACTGAAGCCCGGTCAAGCCAATTGCCCTGCGGGCATCATTAAGCACCAGTTTGTCTCCTCTCTGGACTCCCTCCACTACTCCCACCTCCACCTCGGAGCCTGGCGCTCACCTGGCCGAGGTTGTCGAAGTTGTACTTGTGTCGGACCCACCGGTAACTGGCTTCGGCACAGTCAGATTTGTTGGTGATGTTCCTGGTGTCCTCACCCTGGCACACGAAGAACTTCCCTTTGAAGAGCTGGACACACGTGGACCAGGGGATGGGGAGACATGAGCTTTGACCACAGGAAGCCCAGAACCCCCCAGCCCCACCTCCCAGCAGCCGGCCTAGGGCCTGAGAGTTCCATGCACATCCTCGGTGAGGGGCGGGGGGCTCAGCCCTGCGATCAGTCAAGTTAGGGAACCTCCCCTGCAGACACACCCCTTCCTCCGGGTTCCTGGGAGCAGAGCCCCAGCGAGGGGAGGACGGGTCACGGGGCGGGGACAGACGAAGGGTAGATTGAAGGGAACAGTCCTTTGTTCTCTACAAGGGGCTGAGCCATTGGTTCTCCAAGTGGGGTTCCCGGACCACCATCAGGCCATCTGGGAATGTGCTAAAAATACCATCATCGGGCCCACCCCAGACCCACTGAATGAGACAGTCTGGGAGAGGGGCTGGGTGATCTGATTGAATGGGGGGAGGGGGCTAAGTGTCTTTACCCCATTCTACAGATGAGGAAAACCAAGGCTTAGAGAAGTTAATTCACTCATTAAGGTTATGTAACTAGTAGAAAGCAGACAGGGGCTGGACCTCAGGTCTGGGTGACTGAAAAGCTCACTTTCACTCCAGCACAGACGGGCCATGACTATGACTGGGGGAGGGGTTTGAGGAACCAAAGGCCCAGGGGCCCCGGGCGGCTGTTACGGACAGACCTAAAGCCACTGCAAGAGCCCTGGCCTGGGCTCAACAATGGTTTCCTCTCCTCATCCAAGCAGGCTGGGAAGAGAGGGAAGGGAAGGGGCACTGGGCGTGCAGGGAAACACCACACAGCCTTGGCAACTGCACCCCAGCTGGGTCCCTGGGGCTAGAGAATTCCAGGAAAGCAGGGATGGCCCCCATCCCCTCCCCAGAGCAGAGAGGACATCCCAGAAAGTCAGAGGGAAGGAGGGGGAGAGGGGTAGCCACCCAGGAGCTCCCCTGCTGCCCCAATAGCCAGCTGTCTACCCTGCAGCTGGAGCAGCTGGAGCCAGGGGCTCGGGAAGACGGGATGGAGGGGCTCTCAGAGGTGCCTGCTGAATCCTGCAGGCAGCAGCTCCCGCTCTTTTTCCTCCAAAGCCAAGTTCCCTCCCTGGGCCAGAGGCCAAGTTTCCCCTGCAGCCCCCACTTCCTGCCTCGTCTGGGGTCTGCACCCGCCGGCCTGCCAGCACGCCGCTAACCTGGCCCAGCTGTCTGGGCCCTGGATCCCCAGGCCTGGCCTGCAGCCCACCCCACTCAAGCAGGGGAGGCTGGGAGGGGATCCCAGAGCAGACTGTGGGCTGGTGCCAGCGTCTGTGCTCCGGAGTGCGGTGCATCGAGGGGTTGGAACAGCAGCCCGCGGCTGTCACAGGTCAGAAGCCTCTCTGAGGCCCTTGTCCCCTTTGGGGCCCTCTTCCAGACTTCCAGTTTTCTGAAAAGTGCCCAGGAAGCAAAGAGGCCAAGGCCCTGGGCCTCGAGGGAAGTGTCCCTATTTATTCCTTTCTGGAATAAAGGTGGCAGCAGATCAGGCGTCACCGTCTGAAGAGCAAAAGGAAAGCCACTCCTCAGGCTTTCGCTGACAGCTGGCCCCCAGACTCATACAAACCTGCACCCCCAGGATGCCAAAAATGATGAAGAAGGCACAACAGATGACCACGATGTTGCCAATGGGCTTTAGCGAAGACATTAGCGTTTCTACCACCAGCTTCAGGCCCTGTGCCCGACTGATTACCCTGGGGAGGGAGAGGAGAAAGGGGTTCCCACCACTCCGACACCCCGGCCGGTGCCCTGCTGCTCTGCTTCCCAGTCTTGGCTCAGTGGTCCCCTGGGCTCTGGTTGAGGGAAGAGGCTGGGGTTCTGGGCTGAGCAGAGAGGACTGTGCAGAGCAGCCCTCTTTTTTCTGGGACCCCTGCTGTCAGGGTTCCCACCCCCGGTAACCCCAAATAGGAAGCACACTCCCCCCACCCTCCCACCACCCCCATCCCCAGGATGTCGAAGGGTTACCTGGTGGAGCTAGGTAGGGGCTCAGCTCCAGCAAGGGCTTCCCCAGGGACAGCGTGTGGCATGAGGACAGGGACATACACTTGTAGGGAGCATGCAGGGGGCAGGCAGGGGTGGAAAGGGGCGTAGATTGTCACAGCGAGGGAAGCACCTCTAGCGTCTTCATCTGTGTCCCCACCCTCTGGCCGTTCTGAGTGGGGATGGTGGGCAACTGCCTCACGGGGGGGTGTTTCCGAGAGGGTGGATCCCCTGCTAGATCTGGTGGGTGGCCCCTGGGAGAGGGTCCTGGTGGGCAACACCTGCTTGTTCTCAACACCATAAAGGTGGAGAGAGTGGGGAAAGGAGTCTAGGGATCTGTCACTTCACCATGGAGGGCAGAGAGTCACCCCTGAGGGCACCACCCAAGGCAGTGAGGCCCTGCCTGGGGCCCCTTGTATTGTGCCCGGCCCAAGGCCAGGCCCCCAGTCGCCCTGAGCAGAACATCAGATGGTGAGTGTCATGGAGGGAGGGTGCCAGAGGACAGAAACTCCTCAGCCCCCAGCTGAAGCCAAATGACAACAGGGTTCCCTGTGGGGGTCACAAGCAGGAAGCAGGGGCAGGTGGGGCTCTTGCTCCACTGTTGGGGGGCTGGTTGTGGACGTCCCTGAGGAAGATGCCTGGCGGGGGCTCACCTGAGTGGGCGCAGGGTCCTCAGCAGCCGCAGCACCCTCAGCATGCCGAGGATCTTGGTGCCGCTGTCAGAGACCATGGACACCAGGATGTCGATGATGGAGATGAGCACCAGCAGCCCGTCCAGCACATTCCAGCTGCTGCGCAGGTATGCCTGCTCCCCGAAGCACCAGCCCAGCGCCACCACCTGGGGACACCTGCCAGTCACTGTCACTGCTGCCTCCCTGCAGTCCCCAGCCCTGCCCTCCACTCATGGCCCATCCTCTCCACCCCCACCAGAAACCAGTTAGCCCCAAACCAACACAACTGCCCCCCATCACCTTCACAGTCATCTCCGCCAGGAAGACTGCGGTAAAGACGTAATTGGAGAGTGTCAGGAAGATGCGTTCCTGCAAGAGACAACGGGCAGGTGTTTCCCACCAGGACCCCCTCCTTGGGCCAGGTCCGCTCTGCGTACAGAAGCCAGAGGCTGCTTTCAACATTTGACTCAGAACAGCAACCCCCCCGCAACAAGGCAGACAATGCCCTCCCTCAACAGCTCACACACACACACACACACACACACACACACACACACACACACACACACACACTCTCCAGGCCCTGAACAGAGCTGCTGGCCTCCCCAGACAGGCCTGGAAGGGGAGTGATCCCACCACAGTGCTTCAACCCTGCCCCTTATCCCCGGCCCTATCCCGATTTCGTCTTTCTTAAAACTGGGGCACGATTTAACTTGATCTCTTGTGCCCCCCCCCCGTGTTCTCCTCTCCTCCCTGCTCTGCGGACTTGGTCTCCTGCTGTGTGCCCCAGAAATGGAGCCACAGAGAAATCTGGGGGCCTGAGGACAGGCTGTGTACCCGCAGGGGCAGCACTTATGCTGGGCATAGGCTGGGGCCAGCCCTCCACCGACGTCTGTGGGCTGATTCCATTGCCAGGTGGCCCAGAGAGGGGTGCGGAGAGCTGGAGAGATGCAGTAAGAGCAGAGTGCCAGAGAGCGAGCCATGGAGAGTGGGGAGAGAGAAGCAGGCACGTGACAGCTAGAGATGGAAGCAGCTGAGCGGGGAGACCTGGTCACAGCAGCAGAGAGCTCTGCGGCAAGGCCTGGGGCAGGAGGCACCCGGGGCCCTTCGGACCATCTGCTCTTGTTCCGCCCCTCACAGCCCCAGGGTGGGGGTCCCCAGTGCTATGTTCCCTCATCCGCCTCTTCCTGGGCTGGCCCCTACACATGCCCAGGGCTCCTTCCATCCCCACCCTGGCCTGGCCAGAACCCACCCTGATGGAAACCAGAAGCCCCAGCAGCATTGAGATCTGAACAATGGTGTGGAGGCAGCGAGGTGGGGGCACAAGGGGCCACCTCCAAACAAGGGGTGCAAGATGCCATAAGAGGCAATGAAGTCCCCCCACCCCACCTTCTTGGACCAGAATCATCGCCAGGGAGAGGGGCTGTGATGCCAGGCTGGGGGACATAGCTTCCGGAGCAGCTGAGCCCAACCCAAAGAGGCTAGTCCCCAGATGGTGTCCAGACACTTGGGCCTCTGGCCTCTGGTTCTGAGAAGGACTGACAGGTTCACAGCTAAGCAGAAGCGACCGATGTCTCCCCTAAAATCCCTGAAAACCTACTGGTTTGGGACCTGGCAGGACCAGAGGAGCCGAGGCAACTTCTCTCTCCCATTCTGCTGCCCTCTCTCCCCCAGCCCTCTGCCCCCATCATGGGTGGGGTCATGGGTGAACCTGAGACCCTTTGTCAGGAGCAGGGAAAGCAAGATGGCTGCACCCAGCCAGGGCCAGTCTTGCTGTTCACACCATCCAACACTCGCCAACTCACACAAGGACCTCACAATCACACGGCAATGGCTCGTGAGAACACGCCATCTGCAGACAGCTGGGGTAAGGAGCAGAGCCCACTCCCCTGGCTAGACTGGTGTATCAGAGAAGGGAGACCGAGCCAGGAGAGGGACACAGGAGGCGTCTTGGCGTGCCAGTTCCAAGGATGGGAATCAGGGGGACCTGCGGCAGAGCCCTGGCTCCCTCCTGCTGTGTCTTCTGGGCCTCTTTGTCCACCCAGCTCGCTAACCCCAGAGGGGCCTGGCCCCAAGCAGGCACTGGACAGCCGCCGAGGGCCATCCCAGGGACTCACAGCGCTGTGCGGGTCAATCTTGGGGCGCTCCATGGCGATGGTGATGCAGTTGAGGAAGATGATGACGAGGACCACGTGGTCAAACATCTTGTGAGTAATGATCCGGTGACACAGGAGGCGGAACCTGCTCCAGGACAGAGGCCAAGGCTGAGCGGGAGGCCAGGCAGGGTAGCAGTGAGGGGCATTGCCCGAGGCCCCTGCTCCTCCTGCCCCCCCCCCACACTCCCATGTCTGGGACACCTCTAGCATTGCTAGGATGACGTTGCGGGATAATTTCCCATGAAGAGGAGAGGTTGAGGGACAGGTCAGATGCCCCCTGCTTACCGTGACTGAGGAGGGAAGATGTAGGCGGACCAAGAGTCTCGCTCCCGGCAGCAGGCAGGCAGCCGGGCTCGGATCCAAGCCCTCAGCCGTTCCCCTTTGCTCTGCAGACAGATCGCCGGGGGTGTGAGCTGGGCCAGGCTTCCAATCCCCAGCCCCTCACTCTTTCACAGCAGCGCCACGGGTCCCACTCCTATCTACCTTCTCCCAGCCCTCCATCTCTTCCTGTGTTCCTGAAGCCACCTCCCCACCTCCCTCAAAGCCCCCTCTTGTCCCCTGAGCATCCCTCTCATCCCCCCTCCTGCCTTGCACTCCTGTCCCCCTCACCCAAGCTCTCCACTCTTCCCATTTCCATCTCCGGCCCCGCCCCCACCTGCCCTCCCTGCTGGGCTAGAAACTACATCAATTACCCAACGTGGCAGCCAGCACAGCTGTCTGTTGAAAGGCACACCTGGGATGAGGAGACACAGGCCCCTCCTTCTCATGTGCTAACCACTAACTGGGAGGTAGGTCCCGGATCCCTGTGACCCACCCCAGAGTTAAAGGTGGAGGCTGGCGGTTGGGGCTGGGGGAATGGGAAAGACGGGTGTGCAGTCGAGGCTGTGAAGAGGTCCAGATGAGAGAGGGGGACAGGAAAGGGCATCAGTTTGGAGAGATGAGTGATGGGTCTTTCTGAGTCACAGGGGGAGGGCCATGAAAGATTCATACACATCTGCCCGAAACCATTCATATCCACCAAGGGCCTCAGAGCCATAGCCCCAGGCGTGATGAGGCTCTGGGACTCAGCAGGGCCAATAAAGGGACGAAAGCGGGTGCTTGAAGCTCAGCCTCCAGGGTCGGCACCCCTGAGACCCTTTGGGTGTGATGGTGACTTCCTGAATGCCATTGAGCTTGGAGGGGTTGCCCACCCCTGCACCAGACCAGGCAGAGCTCCCCTCACTCAAGGCTGGGGGTGAGGGGGTCACTGTGCCCACAGGGGCCTCACCAGGTTGCCCTCGTCATCGCCATCGTCCCCATCCAGCGGGGGGTCATCGGGCAGTGGGGCCCCAGCCAGGCGCCCCGAGGCTGATTTGCCATTGCAGCCCTGGTGCTCAGAGGCTGAGCTGCGGCCGCTGGCTGTGCGGTGCAGCCCGGGCACTTGTAGTGTGTCCGGCAGGTCAAAGGAGCTCTTAGCCTCCCGCTCCAGGGAGCCCCTGTGGCGACGGTCACTGCTGCTGGCCGGGCTGGCCCGCTCCTCCTCAGAGCTCTCCTCCTCATCCTGGCTCTCCCGGCCCTCGCCGGACAGCAGGGACCTCCGCTCCCCACTCAGGCTCCTGCGCTTCAGGCTCGGGGCGCGGCCTAGACTGTTGCGACTGGAGCGCCTGCTGGTCCAGCTGCTTGCCGCGCTCCAGGGGCTGTGCGGAGAGCTACGGGCACTCGGCTGGGGGATGAACAGAGGAGAGGGTGCCCTCAGCCAGAACCACACGGCCCTGCCTCCCCCACAGGCGCCCCAGCTCCTGGAGCCTCCCCAGCACCATGCCAGGTGCAGAGGCATGGTAAGCAGGAGCCTGGTGCCAGGTGCCTAGATTCAGGTCCCAGCTTACTCTGCCCTGCTGTGTGACCTCGGCCAAATTACTGAACCTCTCTATACCTCAGTTACTCGTCTGTAAAATACATATGACACTAGCACTGATTCCTCATTTTACTTGGTGATAAGACAGGTCTTCTCACCAGCTGGTGGCAGTATAAAATAATGGCCAGAGCAGGGGCCCTGACACCAGCCTCCTGAATTAAAATGCTGGCTTTGTCATCTACTAGCTCTGGAGCTTCCCGCAAGTCATTTGAACAACCTGAGAGGCAGGTCCCAAAATGGGGAGAGTAACAGTACCTACCTCCTAGGGTTGCCATGAGGATTAAATGTGTCTAGAACGTTTACGAGCAGTGTCTGGATGGTGTCTGGCCCAGAATCAGTGACTGGGTGGGGTTTGCTATTATTATAATAAGGTATTAAGGGGGTGGGGACAACCCCTCCCCCAGCACTTTATAAAGTGGCTCAGCGGTTGAGTCTCCCTCGGTTAGGGAACAGAGGCAGCGGGATTAGGACCCAGGCCATGGCTCCTCCACACCCCTGCATTAGCAGGCCTGAAGGATCTCCCAGGGCTTGTCCAGCCCACGGCTCTGCCTGTCCATCTTCATCCTCTCCTCCCTCATGACATCCTCACATCTCCCACCACTGGGCACCCATGGCACCCCTACCGGTGACTTCATCTCGTGAGCTGCCCCGGGCTCGGCCGACCCACTGCTGCTGGTGCGTCGGGAGGCAGGGCCCAGCGCCTCGGCCAGGCCAGTGCTGGAGCTCTTAGGCAGGGACATGGGCGTGGCAGCCGTGTGGATGATGAGAGGTGGCAACAGGCTCCTCCGAAGCTCTGGGTGCTCTCCCAGCGACACCACTGCAGGGGAGAGATAGGGAGACCCTGAGCCCACTCAAGGCTGCACGCCCAGGGTCAGGGGCTGCACGCCCACGGTCAGGGGCTGCATGCCCAGGATGGATACTCACAGGCCAAGCGCTTCTTCCGGTCCTCATCGCCATCCAGGCTGGGCGAGAAGAAATCGGGTTCTGACTCAGACTTGGTAGCATCTCCCTAGGGTGGGGGAGCAGAGGGACATCAGGGGCCTGGCCGGGCAGGGGTCGATGGGCTGGATGGAGGTCTCCTGGTCTTCACACACACACACTACACAGAGGCCACAGGAACCAGCGACCACGGCACGAGACATGCACCAGTGTAAACCAGAACACCCAGGCTTGGGGCCCAGGGCTCCCCAGGGTCCCCAACACCCCTGCCTCCCACCCACCACACCTCAGAGAAGGCCACGGTTAACCCCAGAGCCCACAGCACAACCAGCCTGGCTGGGCTGGCTCCAGGAATCAGGGAGGGGAGAGAGGATAGCTGGGTGGGTGGGTGGCATGGGCCAGAGGAAGCTGGGGACCTGAGTGAAGTGGTCACTAGAGTCTCAGTTCCAAAGGCCACTTGTGCCCTTTGCTTTTCCTCCACGGCTGGCCTCCCCGAGCCTCAGACCTGAGGACCCCAGAAGGAAATGGAAAGACCCCAGACAGAGTAGTTTGGCCCCAGGATACCACTTCTGTCCCTCTGCTTCTCTGTCCATCCTGCCCAAGCCCCCGCCCCTCCCCTGGCCCCGTTTCTACCTCTCTCCCTGTCTCTGGGACAGTTTTTTCTTCCTTCTTAGCAGGTCAGTAGGTTCCCCAGTAATTACACACTTCTCCTTAAGAAGTTATTAAAAAATACTTGATTGCTACTTTTGATCAGGACATAAATATTGCATAATTGGCATCTCAGGGGATCATTTTCATTAACTCAGTTTACGTCCCTAACGAGGCCTTTAATTATCAAGTGGGATCTCCAGGGGGCTGCTCGGGATGTGTAGCACCGTGGGGTCCTGCGGGAACCCCGACTTCGCCCTGAATCCTGGTGCCAGTGCAGGAAACCGCGGGGCCAAGGCTTGGTGTGGGGGCCGGAGGAGGAGTGCGCCCTCACACACCTGCCAGACTTCCTGGGTGGCCAAGGGGCCAGACACTGGGGAGGGGGTTGAAAATTCTGGCACATTCCAAAAAGAGCCATCCCTACCCCCACGTCCGCCCAAAGGCTTGTCTTGAGCAGAGGCAGCTGGTGGTGTCTCCAACAGGGGCTCAGGGCAAGGGGAAAGGGAGCGAGATGGGGGAGCATGGTCTGGGGCCACAGGTCGGACTCCAGCGAGGCCTGGCCGCTGGGACTCCCGGGGGCCCTTTGCACAGGCGCACGCGCAGCGTGCCACACAAGTGCACACAGAGGATTCTAAGTCCCTTCCTTCTCCCTCCATCCACCAGTTTGTCGGGGACAGATATGCCCTTGGCGAGTTGATGGGGGCAGAGGCAAGGAGGCTCCTCTCCTCGATGTCCTCAAGGGGGAAGGGACTTAAAATCGAAGCCAGCCTCACGACACCAATGACCACCACGGCGACCACAGGTTGCACAGGAGCCGAGCGTGAACACGAGCACAGAGACACGGAGGTAGAGTGGAGGGGGCACGGGGCGGGGGCATGCCGACTCAGGATAGCGTACCTACCCCCTGGGAGTCGACAGGCAGCTGAATACAGCTTAACTGTCCACTCGCATCTTCCCGTTTGCTGATTTCCTACAGGGAGAGGGGGAGGCAGGGGACGGGCGCTGGTCACAGGCGCTCAGGCTTTCAAAGAGCAGCAGTGTCCAAAGAGGATGAAGGGGAGGGATGCAAACCCGACAGCAGGGAAACAAGACATGGGGCGGGAGGAGGAAGGGAGAGAACGGCCTTCCAGGATTCAACCACAGGCTCTGGGGCCAGAATGAATCTGAAGGGTGAGGAAGGAGGCCATGGGGATGGGACAAGGGCAGGAAAGGAGATCAAGCACCGGCAAAACCCTGATGACAGCCACCATTCCCCGGGGTGTGCGAGGCACCGCAGAACCGCTTCATTAACACTAGCTTGCTTCCTTGCAAAGTGGGAAGCAGGTACCGCCAGCACGATCTTAGAGGAGGCGCCTGAGGTCTGGAGAAGTTGAGAACACTGTGCACGTCACTGGGAGAGTAAGAGGTGCACTGGGGCCTCCGACCTAAGACTCCAGCTCCCCCTTCCTGGCTGGGAGGCAGCAGGCTTGCGGAACGGGCAGGGAGGAGGGGAGTGGATGGAAATCAGAGCCTGGGGAGGAGACCAGGTCAGGACAGAGAACAGGCCTCCTAACTCCCATCTCTGCCTGCATTGCCCCCAATTGGAACGCCCCCCCCCCACTGGGATGGGAGTGACAGGTAACACTGGGATGACAGACAGCCTGGATGTTGTTTAATATCAATTAATGGCCTCACACAGGGCCTGCTGCCTGTTCATTTAATTAAGCGTGTGGATGATAAATATGCAGGGATTCAGGGCGCTGCCCCCTACAAGTCAGGAAATCAACAGCCAGCCGTTCTGTCCCCTGGGCCTCTTCCTACCTCTCAGCAGGGTGGCAAGGGGCCACCCTGGGGACCTGCAGCTGACAACCTCCACAGAATGGAGGCAGCCACTTCCTCCACAAAGTTGGGTGGCTTCATGCCATTACAATGGCAGGAACCAGCCTCCCCCACCAGTTTGAGGGGCTCCCTCAGAGCCACAGGTGCGGCCCCCTGAAACTCAGCACCGGAGAGGGCAGGTGCCTCTGGAGGTACCCAGGTCACTGGTGCTGAGCGAACACACCCAACCCAGGTGTCGGCTCACCGCATGTAGAGCAGTGAGCAGCTGGTCCGGCCCCTCCATGGCCCTGCCATTGCCACTGCCGCAGAGGGGACGTGGATCCCGAAATCCCTCCTCCATCCCTCCCCAGACCTGAGGCACCGCGCCCGGAGTGAGACCCTTCCAGCAGTCACGCGTACTCTGAAGGCTGAGGAGGGTATAGCCCCAGGTCCTGGCTGACCCCTTAGGCTGAGGCAGCCACAGGCCCCCAGCAGGGCCCAAGTGACCAGGCCAGGCCCTGGGGCCAGTTGCTCTCTTCCCACACACAGACTTTGCTGCTGCCTAGCAACCAGGCCGGCTCAGCGGTACTCAACAAGGTGCTCACTGAGAAGGGCAGTAGTGGGAGGGGGCTGCTGCGCTGGACGCCCCTGGGACTGCCGCCATGGCCATCAGCCAGTTGATGGGGAGGGGATAGGCCCTGGGTGCTTTGCCTTTTCCTCCACGGGGTTCCACAGAAATTGTTCTGAGGGAATCTTAGCTGTCAGTCAGGAGCTGTGGGTTGGGAGGGACTGAAGCACCACGTCCCCACCCTGCTCCTCCTCCCACAGGTCAGGAGCAGTGGCTGAGAGTGGGGGAGACACCCTGGCTTTTGTGGGGGCATGGTGGCACCCCTTAACCCTTCAGGCCCCAGGGAACCACCAAATCAGTGTCCTGTTGCAGGGAGACACCAGGGTCCCTCCTTCCTGCAAGAGGCCCGCTGTCACCCAGGCAGGGCTCCACCAGCTGCCCTCCCTGTCACCCAGCAGGAGGGAAGGCAATAATGGGTAACTATGGAATTACGATGGAAGCTGGAGAAGGCCAGTGCTGGACAGATGTCCCCACACCCCACCAGCCTGGCCCTCCGGGAACAGCCCTCCCTCCCAAGGCTGGGAAAGAGGTGGAAAATAGAATTTTGTTTTTCCACCGTGTGCCGAGTATTTATAGACCAGGCCGCAGCGGGAGTTTCCATCCGGGTCACCCGGAGAGAACTGGACCAAGAGCTTCTCCACGTCCAACCTGGAGCATTTCTAGGTTGGGTCAACCTACCCTGTGCAAGGCACAGAGCTGGGCCTGGGTGGGAAGAGGGACGGAGCTGAGGGAGAGGAGGAGGGCGCAGCCGTTCTGGCAGAGGCTGTGCCCTAGCATGGCAAGGGCAGGATCAATGTAAATCAATATTAATTGATGATGCTGCCTATGACGAAGGTGATGGAGCCTGGGCTGGAAATAGGACGCTCATCTCTGCCATGCCTGCAGCTAATTGGGCTCATTTCTCACCCTGGGCAGCTCAGCCCTGCCTGGGCCCTGCCGGCATCTTCATCATCCGGACCAGAGCTCAGATGACTTGCACACAAGCCCCACCCACCCCTCAGCTCGGATGGGTCCCCCCAGACATTCCCGAGAGCGCCTGTACTCAGGCATCCATCCGCACCATGTGCCAACCCTCGTCCAGCTTTTTACGGAAAGGTCTAGCTGACTTTGAAGGGGAAGCCCACTCAGCAGCTGACCTGGGGACCCAAGGATCCCCACAATCACCCTGTCTCCCCTAGTGCCAAGGGGCTTCCTGAGACCCAGAGTGTCCCACCCTAGTCACCTAATCTGAAGGGCACCTGAGGCAGAACCTGCCAGGCCACCACAGCTGAAGCTGGGCAGTGAACTCCCCCTGGAAGTGAACAGTTGCGGGCAGGGAATTACCTCCGCCTGGAAGCCCTCCACCAAGATGGCGACAAGCAGATTGAAGAGCACGTAGTTGCCAAAGGTCATGAGGGCGATGAAGTACAGGGCGGCCCAGGACGACGTGGAGGCCATGCCGTTGTAGAGCACCTTGTTCCAGTCCTCCTGGGTCAGGATCTGTGGGCAGAGGGTGTGAGTCGGGGCCTTTACCAGGCTCACCCCACCACCTCTGCCACATCTTGTCCTAGGTCCCTCGCACCTGAAAGACGGTGACAATGGCCCAGAGCAGGGAGTCGAAATTCTTCCGGTCCGGTAGTGTGTCCCCGTCCCGCTCGGATGCAAACTTGCAGCCGAAGAGGTGCATGCCCAGGATGCTAAAGACACGGGAGTCACACGCCAGGCTCAGGCCCCGGCAACTCCGCCCCTCAGGCCCTTCCCCCGGTGGGTGCCCCCCCTCACCTGAAGATGAAGATGAAGAGCATGAGCAGCATGCAGAAGGTGGCCACGTTGTCCATGGTCTTCATGAGCACCACGAGCTGCCGCTGCAGCGCCGGCAGGAAGCGCACCAGCTTCAGCACTCGCATCAGGCGGAAGGTCCGCAGCACCGACAGGCCGCCCCCCTGCTGGCCCACGATCTCCCACACGCTGCAAGGCGGGCAGGAAACCTGAGCCTGCTGCACGCCCACCCCCCACCTGCCCCCCCTTTACAAGGGGTCAGCAGCACCTGGGCCCTGGACTGGTCAGCGTAGCCTGCGAGAGTGGGGCACGGACCGGCCTGCGAGCCTGCGAGATGGCAGAGATCTGGGTGACAGTTCCAGCCCTCTCCACCCTCCCGGCCAGGCCAGAGAGCACACGTCCTGGCAGAGCACTGCCCTCTCCTGCCATCGGCCAATGCAACAGCATTAAGTTATGGAATATTTGCTTTGTTCTCTTCTAATGAAATCTAGAGCCAATTCCAAAAAGCAATAAAGCAGTTCTCCTGGCCCTAGCCTGTAGGGACAGAGCACTTTCCCAAGGTCTTGGAAAAGCAAGCTGCCGGCGTCTGAGATGGTTTCCAAGCACTGTGCAAGCAAGGATCACCGGCTGGGCCTCACACCTCCTCCAACTCCTCTCCAAAGCCAGCTCCCCAGTCCTCACCCGCCCCAAACCTGCGTGGGGCCAAGGACAAGAAGTAGAAGTGGGGAGAGGAGACTGCAGAGGGACCTGGCCAAAGGAGGAGTGAGGCCCAGCTCCTCCTGAGCAGGGTAGGGCTGAGGGGCAGGGTGGAGCGGAGCATGGCGGACACAGAGAGTTCCCACCTTGGGGAGCGGTGGGGCCTTGGGTCAGCGGGGCCTGACTCCAGACCCCTACACCCCAGGGGAATGGGCCGCGTGGCTCCTCACCCTGAACCACCCTGTGGGCGTTCCTGATCTGAGCAGCAGTGGAGGGGCAGTCGCACCTGATGACAACAATGACTCCGTCGAAGATGTTGTAGGGGTTCTTGATGTAGCCAAAGGGACCGTACACAAGCAGCTTCAGTAGCATCTCCAGGGCAAAGAGGCTGGTGAAGACGATGTTGCTGATTTCCAGGGCGTTGGTAAGCTCCTCGGGCTGGAGGGGAGGGCAGGGCAGGGCAGGGCAGGTATGAAGCAGCCATGGCTTGTCCTTGAGCCCCTCACCCCTGTCCTCCCAAACACGGGACCACTGGGAGAGAAGGAGCAGGAACAGCAAGCGGGGGGAGGAGGCCAGGGTGGTTCTTGATGCTCAGGCTTATGGGGAGGACCCTCCCCCAAAGGGTTCATGAGGAACACACTGAGGTGCAGCTGTCCCAAGAGACCCTCCACTCCCAGCTCTGGACCTCAGATCCCGGGGCCTGCCCTGTGGGTCCTGCCCACCTCCTCCTGGGAGCTCTGAGACCCAGCTGGTCCTGTGCTGCCAGGTCAGCTCAGCGGGCCCAGGTCACCAGAAGGCCACCGAGGCCTCGTATACATACCAGTCACACAGCCACATGCAAAGCCACACGTGCTCTACAATGACCTTCTCTTGGACAACTGTCGGCTACCCTGCTTTCTTCCAGACACATGCACAGACATGCATACACACGTGCACACAAACACACAGGTACCCACACATGCATGGACACGCGGACATTCTGATGCACAGGAGGGAACCCCCGAGGAGGGTTGTCACAGATAAGGAGGCTCCTGGAGTTGCTACCTGAGACTAGGACACCTGGGTTAATCCTCAGCCTAGCCTATCACCGCACTGTGGGACCTTCAGCAAGATTCTCAACCTCTCTTGCCAAACATAAACCACTGGAGGCGGCCCTGGCTGGTGTGGCTCAGTGCAGTGAGTGCTGGCCTGCAAACCGAAAGGTCACCAGTTCGATTCCCAGTCAGGGCACATGCCTGGGTTGCCAGCCAGGTCCCCAGCTGAGGACATGCGAGAGGCAACCGATCAAGATACATCAATGTTTCTCTCTCTCCCTGTCTTCCCCTCCCTCTAAAAATAAATAAATAAACACTGGAGGTAAATTACCTTTTTGCTCCAACCCACGGTCTGGAATGAAAACCAAGGACGTGTCCTAAAGAGGTCATCGGAACTAATGACAAACGTTATCTCATCTGCTATTCCGACTCACTAGTCACCTCCCTCCCTTCCTCTTCTTTTGAAAATGAAATGCTCACTGCCTGCCTAAAACAAACCAGATATTAAAGGGGCAGCAAAAACTCGCCAGCCACGCTCTCCGCCCCCTGGGGGCTCCGAGGCTGGCTGGAAGCAAGTCGTACACACACGGCAGCTGAATAACCGCAAGAGGCCTCAGCTGCTTCAGCGACAAAATAAATGATCCAGACAGAAATCCAGGAGTCCAGGGGCAGAAGGCGAAAGACGAACACACTGGGAAAGCCTTAGTCAGCAGCCAGCCCTCGAAATGAACTCCGAAGGGTGAGTAGGGTCTCCCCAGACAGAGGGCAGGGAAGGCACCACGGCTCCACACAGGGAATGAGCCGTCTGGGGAGAGAGGGAAGGCTGTGGTGGGCTGGAGACTCAGGATGGGGGTGGCCGGTTGAGCGAAGCCCACTGCCCACCTGCCCACTGCCCAAAGTCCATGGTAGCTACTCAAGAATAACAAATAAATAACCCAATGAAGTCATCAGTCCATCAGATAACTCACCCCGTTTACCTGGCTGCCTCCTCTAGCTGGCTGCCCAGGTAGGTCACCCAAGCAAGGGGCCAGGCTCCCGGAGGTGCCATATGCCACCAAGTGCATCTCAGTGGCCCCAATCGGTATGGGCAGCCTGGAGGGCAGGTGGGAAGGACGGGGAGGAAAGGCCCTCTGACTAACAGGTGAGGGCTGTTTGGAGGTCCTCAAATGGCTGCTTGGAGCCCGCTGCCCAGAGTGCATGGCTGTCATCGGGGCTGGTGCGGCAGGGAGCCGGCTGCTCCAGCAGACCTGGAGCGAGTCTCTGCTCCCCAGACTGTGAGCTGGGGCAGGAGAGGGAGCCACGACCCGACCTGGTGAATGGGGCCACAGAGAGACGGCCTCTGGTGAGCGCGGTGCAGGTGGCGGGCAGGGGCTGTTGTCGGGACACATAAAGCCCAGGGCTCAAACCCCTCCCGGTGGAGCGGGCCCCCCACTCAGTGCTCCCAAGCCCAGTCTACCAGGATCCCCGTCGCTCGGCCACCTATCCAGTCATCCGTCCTGGGACTGGATAAAGACAAGGAGCACAGGCAGATGTGACACTTCAGGGGTCCCAGGCTCACTGTGTGTCTCGCCTCAGGCCACCCACACGACAGCCATCAGCGCTCATTTTACAGATGGACGGAGGACGGTGAATGACTGGTTCAAAGTCACAGGGCAGGGAGAGCCAGGGAGGGGCCCGTCCCACCTCACTCTGACCCTGATAAATACCAGGCAGGACCCAAATGTGGTGACCACGACGGGTCTGTGAGTCCAGACACCTGGATGGACTGAGTACATACTGCCTCTTCTAAGGCACATAAAATTATTCTTCACATGAACATAGACGTGTGAGTAAAGAACAAATGACCTGAAAGCATCTCAGAGATACATTGTGTGTATTATGGCATACACGTGACACCTCCCAGATGCAAATTAAGCAAATGTTTTTAAAGGAGCTTTTGTTGTCTTGTATTTACTCGGTCAGGGAGCCCGGAAAGCACAAGCACTACCAGGCGTGTGGAGGGAGGGTGTCCTCCTCACTCCCTAAGGTTACCCCTGAGGCAGACACAGTCGGTACCCGAGGGCTCACGGACGGGCCCACACACCAACAGAAGGATGGTGCAGGGCCTCCCCAAGGCCTACAGCACCGGTCCCCCTCCAGGGGGTGGCAGAGAAGCCTGAAGCCTCCGCCTCACCCCTCCAGGCAGCTCTGAGACTGGAGAAGAAGCAGGTGGAGAGGAGGGCTGGGCACGCTCCCCCTGCCTGCCCCCTCTCTCATCTCCACCCCCTCACTGGGCACACGTAGGGGCAGCGCCCTGCCCTCCCAGGGCCTGGGATCCCCTGTGATCCGTGGGAAAAGAGCCCTCCTCCCCCAGACATCCAGGTCTGTACAAGTTACTAAATTGGAGGCTGAGAATGTTCTGCAAATGCAGGACAAGGGCGCAGAGACGCAATCTTAGCAACCCAGTGGCCCCAGGGACCAGATCCCGGCCACTGCAGCTGCAAACGGGCGGGGAGGCAGCACCCTCCACAGGTCCTGCATGGCCAATACCCTCCTCCCAGAAGGTCATTTCCTCCCTGCCTCCTAGACAGCATGGCCTGCTCCAGAAGACGTGGTCATTTAAAGGTCACACCCTTTGCTCACTGAGAAAGGTGCATCTGTGCTTTCCGCTGCATCTTTCCAGGCTGCTACCCCTCCCCCACCCCCACACAGAGCCCGTGCAAATGGACACAGCCCATCAGGCGGGTACCAGCCTCCCCCCACTGACCCTCACCAGTTGCCAGGAAGCCCTTTCTCAGGTCTAGGCTGTATCCTTCCTCTTATTCAGGGGTGTCAAGGCCCAGTGGGGGCTTCAGTGAGTTGAAGCCAGGCAGCCTGAACATCTCCCACCCAGACACCTCAGGCTCTTCTCCGGGCTGATGCTAACTGTGAACTTCCCATCTCCCAGGTCCCAACCCTTTCCCTCCCTCATCCGGTTGTCTTAGAGCAACTGTGGCTCCCACACCAGGACACCCCTGAAACCCGAAGCACCTCCAGCACCTCTGTCAACTAATCTTAAAGTGCCCACGGTGTGCATGACACTGGTGCTAAAAGGGGGGCTGAACACAGGAGGCCTGCCAGCCCTGAGAATTCCCACCTGTGGGACCTAGGGTGAGTCCCTTCACCTCTCTGATCTCCACTGACCTCTTCTGTTAAACAGGGCAACACCACCTCGTGCTGAGACTGCTCTGAAGAGCACAGGAAATCAAACCTGTGAATGCATCCAGCCGAGAGCCACACTCAGGTGGTGCTGTGGGCACTGACCGTGGAAGCAGGCCTCACGCGCGGCAGGACAGAGTGCCTGCAAGGCTGTAACTGGGCACCATGCAGGGAGGCAAATACCAGGAGTGCCCCAGGAGCTCCCACCCAGAGGTCAGTGGGCCAGTGGGGGGGAGGAGGCGAGGGGAGAGCTCCTAAGGGGGACATCCCCCACTGGGGGCAGTGTGAGCCAAGGTGTAGAGGAGGGAATGGGCAGGGCGTGCTGGGGACCAAGAATCAAGTGGTCTGCCTGGGTCAGTGGGTGGAGGGGCTGGTGGGGGACAAGCCTGCAGGGTGGGCAGGGCCTGGCGGAAGACTCGGCTCCAGGACTTAGGCTGGGCTTGCCTCTGCCCACATTCTGCCACTGAGGCTTCTGCGCATGGCGGTAGGAGGTGGAGAGGAGTTGTGCAAAGCAGGTGTTAAGGAGATTAATCCGGCTGCAGTGGTGGCAGCCTGTGGACAGCTCGGAGAGACGGAGACCAATTAGGGGGTACTGCAGAGGTCTGGGCAGGAGGCCGGGAGCAGGCCCGACAGACAGTCATGTGCCCATTGCAGGGCAGGCTCCAGGGGGTGGACCGGCCCGGCGAGAGTTGAGCGGGGGCTCGTGCGAGTCACCCCAGTACTGCCAAAGTGCTGCTCCCACCCCCAGCTCCCAGCCTCCTGCTCCACTGACCCTGAAATCTCTGCTCCCCAACTCCAACACTTCGGTTCACTCCTGACAGTCCCACCCGCTGCTCCCGCGCAGCCAGACAGGCTGTTCCAAGGCGGCCAGAGTGATGGGTAAGGGTCGCTGGGTCCCTGGGATTGCCTCCTTCCTCTTCTTCTTCCTCCTCCTTCCAAGGAGGTATGGAAAGTCAGGGGACACTTGTGTGGCAGGAGGTTTCCAGGAAATGCCATAGGTTTCATCATATAGATCGTGACCTTGCTGTTTGCCATCCCCCTGGACACTCGCCAGCTTGGAATGTTGCCTGCTAGAATGCCATGGTGCCCCAGCGCCTCCAACAAAGGGGGCTGGGGGAGAGGCTTTAGCCCTCGCCCACAATCTCCCATGGGCTCCTCGAAGCTACCCCAAGTAAATACACAAGCTAAGCAGGCACAGAGCACCTATAGTGCTCGCTCAGCTTGCTG